TATTCATAGTAATAAAAAACAAAACAATAATACAATGACTTTAATGTTTACCGATGTGTAATGAGGCATGCTTCTCCCATTCACTTTGCTCACACCATCCCACAACTCCATATATTTTAAAACAAACAATCCACAATCATATCTGCACAATTGAATGTAGTTATTACACACGTTACATACAACATTTTGCAAACAAAATTTCAACTATAATAACATACTAACATGTTTGGTTGAATTGACAAGTCCTCCTTTGTAACCTTAAGTTCACCAGTGGTCCTCGATGACTTTGTTTCCAACAACGACAATAGATGTTCAAAACATTGCAACTGTTCACAATATTACATTATTCACCAAATAAACATAGCTCTGAATTAACAATATTACCTACGTAAACAACTTAAAACAAATATTTACCATAGCTCTATCAATTGGTTTTCGTGATCTATTATCATGGCCCAACGAATCTAATATAAACAGTTCTCTATCCTTACATTTCAGCACATAACACCACCAATGACCATTGTGTACAGTGGGAGCAAAAATCTGAAATAGAAAAAACTCTGGTTAATTGAATTTTATCTTGACAAATATATAAATTTAAGGCAAAGTATAAATACTCACAAATTCACAACTTAATAACTGCTGCAATGGAATAATTGTATTTGGATAGAAAAGTGAGAAGTCTTTCATTGTCCACGTCGATGTGTTCCCTTTGCGAATATACATTTGTTCAATCACTTGTGTCTATCAAAAGGCACAAAAATAAATGACAATCAATGATAATAAACCTATGTGTAACTTAACTTTTTAAATGCACAATAAACATACCGCAAACAAAGGATTGAAACAAAAACGTTGAATGCTGCCACCAGTGACATTCATTTGGTCATACATCATTAGACTACTTGCAAACAGCATCACCTAACAACCCATATGATATTAATAAATATAATTTTTAAAAATATATTGAATCACACTTTTTCATTAAATAAACAAACTTACCATATTGTCAATATGACCCCTTGGCTTTAATGTGTGCAAGTTCTGCATAGTCAATATCTGCCCATGCACTTCCACTACAACACTGAAATACAATAATGGATTACATTGCATTTTATACTAATTAAATTGAATGAATGTAATAAATTTTATTTTATACTAACCGGTTTGGATTATCAAGGTTGGTGGTGCAAAACTTATAAAATTGATACATGTCATCATCCTCACCAATCACCTTCACCTTTATCGATGACTTATTCATGTGAATCCCGATTTGTTCTTTCAAAATTTTAACTTCACGTTCAAGTTGAATGATCCTTTTTTGATTTTCTTCGTTTTAGATCTCCATATGCGCTGGTCCGATAAAAGTTGTTGCAAGTCACATGACGCACCACTGGAGGAAGGTATGTCCGTATTCTCAATTTGTGAATGCGTCAAAGCTTCTTGCACAACTTTCATTGTCTGATCATCCGCAGACAGTGCCCAATCCCATAAAATCTAACATATAAAGGAAAACTTTATATGTTAGGAACATAATATAATAAGTCCACATTTTTAAGGAAAATTTATATATGTTGTACACAAAATTTCTTACATTGTTTGAGATGAATACACGTTCTATTTTGGACCTTCGAATGTTCACTTTAGGTCATTCAACAAAACGCGGAAAACAAATCTTTCGTGGTGGATCAGTAGGCAAAGACAGGTGCTCCACTGCCCAGATCTATTACATAATAAAATGTCATCAGTCACAATAATTCCATATCAACTAATAAATCAATCATTTGTAAGAAAGTTACCTGTAAGACAGCCACACAACCAGCAACGTACAATTGAGAAGCATTTTTTTCCTCGTTTAACTTTCTACTAGCACGATGCAAACTATTAACTAATAAACCGTGCACAACATTTCCCCAATTATAATTATCTAATGCCTCTAAATCATCTAATAAACTAAAAGGAACACTATGAACAGTGCGGGATGTGCGAGGAAAGTAAAAAACCGCCCACCCAAGTAGGATATAAAGCCTACAAAAGTCAACTACATATTTAACATGCTTAATTTTTTTCCCTTTCAGCTTCCTAACTATATTTGTTACTGTTATTGGTTCCTCTTCGTCGAATAAATCTTTTACTAAACATGAACCACTATCTTCTAAAACAACTACCTCCCCCCTTATACGTAAACCTAACGAAAAACAAACATCTAAAGGGGTGAATGGGACAAGATATTGTTTTATTCTAAAACAATGATCACTAACTGACCATCGACTAACTAGTTCTCTTATAATATTGCTTGATATTTGTAATGGCTCTTTTATTTGAAGAAGTCATTTAAACGGAGTTTGTTCAATAGTTGCTCGTTGGTGTTTGGTCAACTTTGAATTTATATCAGCTATATACTCTGTCTCAATCTTGTGTCTTAATCTTATCTGCAAATATAACATGTATAACATATATAACATACATAACATATAACAAATTGAATATTTAGTAAATCACTTTTCATAAAAAAACTATAATTAACATGCACATACCTTTTTCTCGTCAAGACGGTCTCTTTTTGCAGACATTTTTTCCCAAACTAATCCTGTTACAAATTATTAAAATTGTAACTTACAATCACAAAATAGTACAAACAAAAAAATTAAGTCCAACCATGTTACACATACTTTTGGTCAAATTGTGAATTATGCAAACGTGGGTGTAAATCTTGTGCATATTATACAAAATGTTTGTCATGCAAATACAATTCTTCATTGTAGCATTTCATCAAACACTTGTTGGACATTAATATAGCATCACAACTCAATTAACCCTAAACCCTACAGAATACTTTCATTACAAACCCAATCAAAGATAAACAGAAAACAAAGCAACAATGCGCAAATACAATTCTTCATTATAGCATTTCATCAAACACTTGTTCGACATTAATATAGCATCACAACTCAATAAACCCTAAACCGTGAAAAACACCTTCATTACAAACCCAATCAAAGATAAACAGAAAAGAAAACAACAATGGAAACCCAATCAAAAATACACACAAAATCAAGCAAATGTTGTTAAACGAACACTCACCACCGCAGGGTCGCTCAAGCAACACACAGTGATGTTCAGCTCCAACGACACGGACGAAGCCAAGCTACAGGAAGTCGAGCGCCGTCAAGAGCGAGATGGAGAAATTTTACCCTAAGTCGAGGGAGAAGAAGTCGAGCGAGGAAGAGCGCGAATGTGAAAAGCGAAAATCAATGTAATAAAGAACCAGACCCTTTTTCTAACATTTAGATAGCGGTTATTTGGCCAACCGCTATCTAAACTATACATTATGATCGATTATTATGCAATTATAATCGATCATAATCTATGACTTTAGATAGCGGTTATTTGGCCAACCGCTATCTGAACTATGCATTATGATCGATTATTACCCAATTATAATCGATCAGTTTTACATATATGACTTTAGATAGCGGTTAATTGGCCAACCGCTATCTGAACTATACATTATGACATATATGACTTTAGATAGCGGTTATTTGCCCAACCGCTATCTAAACTACATTTATTATAGCGGTTATTTTGCCAACCGCTATCTAAGGTCGCCTCGCGCTCGAGCGACTATGTAATCGCTTGAGCGACAGCGACAGTTGAACCTTTACCAAACGAAAGTAAACTCCTGCAAATCCTGGAAGGAGAAAAGTGTACCCTTGAGTTACTTTTTCTCATATGAGCTCGTACAAAGGCGCCAAGAGCTTTCTTATTCACTCTTGGCGGGGACTACTACTGGGAAACCAAACGAAAGGAGTGAAAATTTTTTATGCTGTTGGCTGCTTGGGCGCTTACTCTGCTCTCGTCTATGCCCTTGGTGTGACGCAGCTGGGTATCGATTTCACTTTCGGATCTTTAGGTGGCACTCACTGGCCCCGTCTTTGCTCTACAAACTCATGGAAAGGCAGGAGCCTGGAAGCCAGGAAGAACGAGCCCTGCAATTCTTCTATAACATCCCCCATTTTTACAATATTACATATCTGAACCCATATAATTTTACTAATCAAACCCTTATCTTTAATTAATTTCTTTTTAGCCCCGGTTGTCTAACAGTTGTTTGTTTTCGGTTGTCAAAGAATCGTTTTCCTACATAGAATACCGAAGGTACTGTTACTGTTATTCTTCTTCAATCATATGTAGAGTTTTACCTTGGTAATTTATAATGCATTATATAATAAGATACAAATTATAAAAGTTAAACTCACTTTAAAAAATTTATTCAGAACTACAGAATCAACAGAGGTTCATTAAATAATACTTGAGACCCACAAAATTTGAACCATTAAAGAGTGTGTCCTTGTATTTCTCATCAATAAAACATAACCCCATCGCTGAGCTACAAATTCTAGATTAAATCGGGAAATTAATGATATAACCTACAACCATATAAATTCTTGCTAATTCTCTATGCCAACATGAAACAAACATTGAAAAATTAAGGTACTTCAGATAAAAATGATTCTTCCAAGCAGCAAAACTTCAGTGAGGACATGTATTTCTCGAACAAGGGATTCCCAACCAGAGTCTATATATATAAAAGAGGACTCAAGTTACTTATTATTATCTTTTATTTTCTTTAAATCAAATGGTTCTAACAAATAATTCATTATAACAGTTAGATTGAGAGAAAATGATGGGTGAGGATTACCTCATTAAGAGTTACTGTTGGAATAATTTGATCTCAATCTTCATTGTTTTGAGAGGGAAGGGGTCCCGTATTTCCCTCCAGGACGTGCAATGACCTTCGTTGTCAAAAAAACAAACCTTAAATCTCCAGTGGTATCTTGTCAAACCACTGTGACGTCACTAGTTCTAAAATTATGTTTCTTAAATTAACTCAAGGCAGAGCCATTCATGCATATTACTCAAGAATGTTATTTATGATTTGGTTGTCGGTGACCAGTTACCCGAGCAAGCTAACGGGGTTGTACAGTAAGAAGTCAATTATGTTCAGATCAGACTCGAATGCTGAGGACCTTGAAGGATTTGCTGGTGCTGGTCTTTTTGACTGGTAAAATGCGTGGTACTTAAAATCAGATATGAATTAACAGTACGTTGTGATACAATTGAAATGTGAGCTTGGGTGACTGGAATTAGAATCTCTCATCTGTACCATTGCATTTCCTGCTTGCTTGGGTGTCATGCTACCTATAAATTCTTGCTAAATTCCCTGCAGTGTAATTATGGACAAGGTTGAGAAAGTGGTGTTAGACTACTCCAAGGATCCAATTATTTCTGATAAACCATTTCAAACCTCACTCTTCTCAAGAATTGCAGAGGCAGGAAAAATCTTAGAGGACCTTTATGGTTTCCCTCAGGACATTGAAGGCGTGGTTAAAGATGGGACAATATTTGTGGTTCAGGCAAGACCACAAATTTAATATCATGAAATACTTCCTAAAAGTTTATAGTGCAACAGAATTGAATCTTACGGTATATGATATATATCGGCAAAGTCATGCTACCTGAAATTATATTTTCTAAGATAAATTTAATATCATATTATACTAGTTAAACGAGATAATGAGATATTATGGGCTATTCTTGCTTGTTTTTTAACATTTTCTTTCTTTTGCTGAAGTGAAAACCACAGCTGAAAGACTAAGCAGTTGTGGATACATAGTTTAGTTAAACACTTGTTCCATAACCCTTATATCAATTGAGAATGTATTTTGACAAGTTTAAGCTAGAAGGAACATATAAAGATCATAAAGCCACTGACCAAACATCTAGGTCATAGCAAAGAGGACACCTAGCAGTTAAGTATATCGAAAGAATTAGCATGGTGGATAGGCTTTATGGCATGAAAACTGTACAACAGTAAGCCGGAGAACATGTAGCAGTAGTGTTCTTATGCGAGTCTTCTACAACTAAAATCTAGTTATCTCAAGTAATGGCACCGTTGTAAAAACTAGGACAAAATGGGAAACTCCTTGCTTGAGGCATGTGATGGAATTGTTTTGAAGGATTTATTTGCTGTGAGATTATTCCAAAAATATTCATAGAATTAAATAAGTTAAATGGTGGTTATATATGCTGTACATAATTCAAGATATAATTTTTTTCGTCGATAAATGTGTAACGGGTGAATAAATACATCCACTTGCATGTATGACGTACGAGTGATTGTCTCAATAATAGATTTACAATATATTAAGAAAAAAATTAGTAGATAAAAAAGTACATCTATTTGTTTTTATATAAACAGTACACAGTATTTAGGAAAAATTTTAATTAGTTAACATTGTTACTGATAGTAACAATGTGATTATTTAAGACTTGGACCTGAAAAAAAATGATGAAATATAGTTACATTTACTTTTTGATATATTTCAATACTTTCATAATTGAATAGATTCTCTATCGTATTTTGTTTATATGTTTCTTTATTCAATAAATATGTTTTTTTAAATTTTTATTAATAATTTAAATTCTATTCTTATGCTATTAATCACTAAAAGATTTGAAATATTAAATAAACCAGTTATAATTAAAAAGTCCATTTTATTAGTTGTTCTCAAGGAAATAGTTGAATTAATAGTTTATCCTTAAAAGGGTTAATGTGCTGAGTTACATACCATACTTTTTCATGTAATAGTAATGACTAAGGTAATAATAAATAATATAAAATACACAAAATCAAGAAAGAAATTAAATTACTTCTCTTCTTATAAAGGATTATTCATATTATGATTCTATGTTCCAGCCTTGTAATAATAAAATAAGAATAATAACAATGGATTGGTTTGTTGTCATGTTGGAATTTGAATATATTTAAGAAAAAAAAATCTGTGTTATTAAAAGAAACTAAATAAATTACAATAACAATACCTAATTTTTTGATATCTACATAGAATCAATAAATTCTACTCCGCATTGTTCACAAAATTTTGGGTCGTCCTTTTGATTTCTGATTACTCGATAATTTCCACAAGCACAAATCCCACTTTTTATAGGCCCAAAAATTCTTTCACAAAATAATCCATCTTTTTCAGGTTTATTGGTTTTATAATGAAAAGTATAGGGTTTTGTTACCTCCCCCACTATCTCTCCATTAGGTAAGATTCTTTTTGCCCAAGCACTGATTTGTTGAGGAGAAACTGATCCAATTCGGAGTTGTTGATGTTTATACTGATCAATCATAGAATAAAAATTCGGATTCAGTCCAATTAAGCTTCCTTCCTACGAATCCGTAAGTTTTTCTCAGATACAAGGAAATGATTCAGTTCCATAGCTAAAGATCGTAATTCTCGAACGAGCAATCGAAAAGATTCTGGAGCATCTGTAGGTTTAGGTATTGTTCCTCCAATGATCGTAGTTCCGAGTACTTCTTGGCGAGTTTGAATATGATCAGATTTATAAGTAAGCATCTCTTGTAAAATATGAGCAACACCAAATCCTTCCAAGGCCCAAACCTCCATTTCGCCTACTCGTTGTCCTCCCTGCTTCGCCCTTCCTCTAAGTGGTTGTTGTGTAACAAGTGCATAATGTCCACTGGAACGTCCATGAATTTTATCATCAACTTGATGAATTAATTTTAAAATATAAGTCTTTCCCATTATAGCAGGCTGTTTAAAAGAATTCCCTGTTCTTCCATCAAATATTTTGCTTTTTCCAGGATACTCGGGTTCAAATATCCATGGATTAGATGTTTGTTTACTAGCTTCATATAATTCAGAAAACACTAGTTTTCTCGAAGCTTCTTGTTCATATCTCTCATCAAATGGTGTTATTCGATAATGTCTATCTAGCATACTTCCTGCTAACCCCAGCGAGCATTCCAATATTTGTCCTACATTCACTCGTGAAGGTACCCCTAGTGGATTGAAGATCATATCAACGGGTCTTCCGTCTTGCAAATAAGGCATATTCTATCTAGACAAAATTAATTTTTGGTGTTATTAAATTATACTTACACTTTAGTTTTTCACAAATACAATGATCTCCTTTATTATTGGTGTTAATATACTATTTTTAAAACTTAAATTCTTTATTGTGGGTGTAAGCGTACTATATTTAAAACTTAAGAAATGTATACGTAATATAAAAATTGGTGATGATGCAAAGTTTTAAAATAAATGGGAGATTTGTATAGAAATTTTATAAAGCTATGGACTTAGGGTAACTGCAGAAAATTTCAAAAGATCTAAAAAATTTATATTATTTAACGAATTTGATACATTTATTATTAATTTTTCATTTTAGGTTATTGGAATTGTAACATGACAACAAATTAGTATACTGATAATATCTGGTATCTACACAATTTTAAGAATGTTAAACACTTTTATTACAATTATTTGATTTTTAAATGCTTTTACAATATTTTAATAATATTTATTATTAATATATCACAAGCAGTATTTCTGAATTTGCATATTAATTTACTAAGTTGAGTCGTACAAAAAACAGACTAAATTTTCATTTATCATCCACATTTTGATTGTTAGCCAACTCTTTCAAGGAAGATTACTGTTGAAAGGAATTTTTTAAAAGGAAGCTCAATAGAGTTGCCATTCACAATTAATTGAGAAAATAACATCATGTTTGGTTCAGAATTATATTATATTTCGAAATGAATAGAATGTGACCAAAAGAAGATATTTTACATGTGTGTGAAAGAAGATATTGCTTTTATTCTATTTTTCAGAATATAATCAAATGTATGTACATAATCATGTCAATCTCTAGGCTTGCTATTTTCTAATAAATTAAGAAGCCAAAAATTGCACATTGACCAGAAGCTACAGGAATATACAACCAGAAAATGACGTAAGAGATGAAAATAAGGGTCTTCACCGTTGATTGATGTTGTGGACAACGAATAGAAATGTTAGATGTGCGATTGATGTTGCATAGAAAATGTTAGATGCGAGATGAAAGCAAGGCTCTTTTTTCACCGATGACTTGCGTTGCCACAGAAAATACACAACGAATAGCAATCAACACCAACCATGCATTAATCGAGTCCGCAGTTCTCTTTCCATTCCAATCGCCCTCTGCACAAGATGTCTAGCTTTCAACCGAGGGTCTTCTCAATGTACAGATCCTCTGTCACATGTTTGTATACTTCAGAGTATTTAAGAACTGAGCGTCACGCTCAGTTGACAAGTAAGAAATCCTTTAGATGACAACATTTCTATTCATGAAAATCTTCATATGGTGATGATCCACTCGAAGAATCACTGTCAAATGGAGTTGTCTCTCGTGGTGATGATGGCAGTGATTCTCTTCGTTGTGAAGATGAGCCTGAAAGAGATTCAAACGTCATTCCTCAAGTCGATAAACAGATAAAAAAGAGAAGGACGTCGGATATCAATACACAACACAGCTTCGAATAGTGAATTTTTAAACCTAGACACATCCAAAAGTCTTGAAAGATAATTGGAGTTTGTGGTAAATGTTAAGTTTGAAAGGCCAGAATAAATTTTACGTTAGGGTATTCACAACGACATTCTAACCCTTTTAGTAAGTGTATTTTTATTTAAGACAAATAATAAGGGAAAAATACACAACCAACCCAAGAGAGGGGGACGATAGTAGTTTAGAACAGATGGTCCAAGAAGATCAGCACCTAAAACAGCTTAAAATATACAAAGTGTTATTCATATTAAATTCTATTCTGATTATTCATATGAAAAATGACCACTGTATGGCGACTACCATAAGTTAGCAATGATATGTAATCCAAAAAAGTTGAACCTGTTATTAAATCGTATCGACTTCAGCAATCCCTTGCTACTCCTACTATTCCTCCGCGTTATCTCTCTAATCAAGATCGTGATGTTGATTGTGTGAAACATGCACATGAAGCCTGGGATGTTCAGGATCAAATGCTTCTTACATGACTTCGATCATTGTTGTCGAAGTAGATTCTCTATCACGTTATTAGTTTGACTTTGATACACTCTTACCAGGTTTAGGACAGAATTCATGAAAGTGCTCGCCAACTTTTTACAGATCTTCATTGTGTATCTCTTGACGGCAAGATGATGGGAGATTCTTGGTCTCACATCAAAACTTTGTTGATGAATTTGTAGGTGTGGATTTACATTTCAAGACACAAGAGTGTGTACGCTTGAAAAGCATGTTGATGCCATCCTAGAAGGTTACTCTTCCTGTTGTTGAAATGGAGGCTCTTTTTCTTGCTCACAAATCTCCTGCTACCGGATTAATATGAAATCCTTATCTCCTACTCTTTAACTACACTCAAGGATTTGTACCATCCACCTCCCATGATCCTAGCCCTCATCCTAATAGTGATTATGTTTGTGCTGGTGGAGACTGAGGCTCAATGGTCGTGGTGGTGGACCCTTTGCCAATTTTCAATGCCAAATCCGTTTGATGTATGGTCGCACTGCTAACATTTGCTTTTACAGGGCTGATGCAACTTCTCAACCACACGAGTCTCTTTTTCTCTATGATTCTTCAACACTACAACTTGGCTAGTTCACTCCTCAGTCCAACATCAAAACTCCTAATATGAAGATACTCACGCAGCCACTCCCAGTGCTATGCTTGCTAACACCTCTTCTCAAGGTGCTGTCAATTCTACATGGATTCCTGACTTTTGTTCCTCTTGTTTATAGGGAAGTCCCACAGACTTCCTTCTTCTACCTCTGGAATTGTTTGCCTCACATTCTGGTTACACTTATCGTGTTTCCTTTATTGATGCATATTCTAAGTTCACATGGATTGATCTTTTAAAGTCCAAATCTGAAACTCCCAGTTTTTCAACAATTTAAGTCATGGTTGAACTTCAGTTTAACAATAAAATCAGAAGTGTTTTATCCGATTAGGGAGGAGAGTTCAGACCCTGTACTGATTTACTATCCAGTCATAGTATCAGTCACAGATTATATTGTCCACACACACCATCAAAATGGTGTAGTAGAAAGAAAACACATACATTTTGTTGACACTGATCTTCCTCTTCTCCATCATGCAGTGTATCTAATTAATAGACTACCTACCGCTTCTATAAATTTTAATATCCTCTTCACAGTATTGTTTAACAAGACCCCTGATTTTTAAAAGCTTTTGGGTGTGCTTGTTTTCTTTTTGTAAGACCTTACAATACTCACAAACTTAATTTCAAGACACAAGAGTGTGTTTTTCTGGGTTATTCATCCTCTCACAAGGGCTATGTTTGTCTATCTGTTTCCGGCAGGATTTACATTTCCAAAGATGTCATTTTCAATAAACAGCGGTTTCCCTACAATGATTTTTTTCAGCAAAGTCCTGCCAAGAATATTTCTCAGTCTGACTATTTTCATCTTACTCCATAATTTTAGTCTCTTGTTCCTCCTGCTGCTCCTACACAGCAGCATTTTTGTCTTCTGATGTTAGTCACCATCTTGGTGACCATCATCATTCACCTGTATCACCCACTCATCCTCCTCTCTCTCCTCGACCTGTTAACGTTCACCCCCACAAACCAGACCGAAATATGGACTACACAATCCCCATCTTCATCCCTCGTTTCTACAATCTAGCTCACAATGAACCATAAGGAGTTAAATAGGCTCTACTTGATCAAAATTGGTTGTCTGCCATGCAGCTTGAATATTCTACAATTACGAAAAATCACACCTGGAATTTAGTCCCCCTGCCTTCTGATAAAAGATCAGTCGGCAGTAATTGGGTACTTAGCATAAAAGAGAATCCAAATGGGGCAATCAACAAGTATAACACAAATCTTGTGGCTAAGAGGTTTCATCAAGCTCTTGGTTTTGATTTTCATGAACATTTTCTCTATTGTTAAACCCATCACTGTTCGCCTTATTGTTACTGTTGAAAGTCCCACATCGCCTACCTCATATCATTTGGTATGGTTTAAATACATGTTAAGCTACTCCACATATTGCCAATTGGTTTTATGTTGGAACCTTAACATGGTATCAGAGCCAAAGCCTAACATCTTTCCGGTTATTGTCATGGGCCAAAAGTTACCCTTTAGTTGGGTCAAAAGTACCCTTTGCCTGGTCCGGCAGGCTTCGTTGGAGGGGGTGTGTTGAAAGTCCCACATCACCTACCTCATATCATTTGGTATGGTTTAAATACATGTTAGGCTACTCCACATATTGCCAATTGGATTATGGTGATACTTTCTCTCCAGTGGCAAAGATGGCTTCTGTTCGTTTATTCATTGCCATGGCTGCTATTCAACAATGGCCTCTTTATCAACTGGATGTCAAAAATGTTTTCTTGAATGGCGATTTGCAAGAAGAGATTTATATGGAGCAACCTCCCGGATTTGTTGCTCAGGGGGAGTCTTCTGGATTGGTATGTCGTCTTCGCAAATCTTTATATGGCCTAAAACAGTCTCCTAGGGCCTGGTTTGGAAAATTTAGCAGCGTTGTTCAACAATTTGGCATGACTAGAAGTGAGGCAGACCACTCAGTCTTTTACCGTCACTCGAATGCTGCATATATCTATTTGATAGTGTATGTCGATGACATTGTTCTTACAGGTAGTGACCATCATGGCATCTCTCAGATGAAACAACACCTTTGCCACCATTTTCAAACCAAAGATCTTGGCAAACTCAGATATTTCTTGGGTATTGAGGTAGCACAATCTACCGATGGCATTGTTATATCTCAAAGAAAGTATGCATTGGATATTTTGGAGGAAACTGGGTTGATGAATTCAAAGCCTGTTGACACACCCATGGATCCTAATACCAAACTCTTGCCAAATCGGGGGAGTCAATGTCGGATCTCGAACAAGTATAGAAGATTAGTTGGAAAATTAAATTATCTTACAGTTACTCGCCACGACATTTCCTTTGCGATCGGTGTGGTGAGTCAATTCCTCAATTCTCCTTGTCAAGATCATTGGAATGCGGTCATCCGTATATTGAAGTACATCAAAAAGTCTCCTGGAAAAGGTTTGGTGTATGACTCCCATAATCATACAAGAGTTGTCTCGCTATTCGGATGTCGATTGGGCAGGATCTCCCTCCGATAGAAGATCTACATCCGGGTATTGTGTTTCCATTGGTGGTAACTTGATCTCATGAAAAAGTAAGAAACAAAGTGTTGTGGCAAGATCCAGGTGCGAAGCGAGTATAGAGCTATGGCCTCAGCTACCTGTGAACTTATTTGGCTCAAGCAATTGCTTAAAGAGCTACAATTTGGAGATGTCACTCAAATGACACTAGTGTGTGACAATCAAGCCGCTCTCCATATAAGCTCTAATCCTGTCTTTCATGAGAGGACTAAACATATTGAGATTGACTGCCATTTTATTCGGAAAAGATTATGTCTGGAGACATCAAGACTGAGTTCGTTAACTCATGTGATCAATTAGCAGATATTTTCACTAAGTCTTTACTGGGGACCTAGGATGGATTATCTTTGTACCAAGCTAGGCACATACGATTTGTATGCTCCAGACTTGAGGGGAGTGTTAGATATGATTAGATATTAGTTGATATTGTTTGATATTGTTGAGATATTGTTAGATATTGTTAATCACAATATCAAATAATATCTTTTTATTTACTCTATTTGTATTCTGTTACTCTTTTGAGGAGTACCTTTCTTTATTATAAATACACTGCCCTATGTGTGGTAAATACATAAGGGAAATTAACCCTATACAGTTTTTCCATTGCTTTACCTATAATTAGGAATTATATCAGCTGGATATCTATAATGTTTTCCTTAATGGTCTTTTGGAAGACACAGTTTAGATGGTGCAACCTCCAATATTTTCTCAATGGTCACAAACCTGTTATTCACAGTGGTACTAAACACATGGAAGTTGATGACTTCTTTGTTCGTGACAAAGCTCTCTCTAAACAACTTTAGATTTATCATATTCCAGCCTTGGGTCAATGAGAAAATTTGCTACCAAAGCCTCTTTCTCCAACTAGATTTGCTTTGCTCAAAAGGCAAATTCAATGTGATGGATATTTCTCATGCAACTGCACCTTGAGTTTGAGGGGGATATTAGGATATATTAGAATATAAAAGATATTCTTCTTTATCTCTCTCTCTGTATCTTTTTGTTACACTAGCACAACATTCCCCTTTAGTTTGTTATTTCCAGTTGTCCCTTTTTGGTGATTTTGTTTTGGCTTTTTGGTTATTTTGCTTCCAAGGGTAGCTACAAATATAAATGCTCCCTTTGTATTTTGCTTTATGCAGGACAGGAATAATAAAATATCTTTCTCTAAGATGATATCTAGATCATTCCATCGTCGTAGTAACCTTTAATATTTTTTTAAGTCGTTCATGGCTATCGCTGATCCCACTGCCTCCGCATCTTATTCCTTTCCCACTTCCCTCGCTGAAAACTTGATGACTCCAACTATCGTCATTGGCATCAACACTGATGAGTGATATCATGACTGGATAGCGACTAGCATGAGTTAGGAATGTGAGTTATCCAACCAAGTGATAGAGAAATGAATGAAAGTAGAACCCATTATGCTTTTACTTAAAGAAGGCAAACAACCCTAAAGGATAGGAATTGATACAGAGGACGTAAAAGAATAAAAAAAGAGGATCCCCTTGCACATTGGGGATCACAACTAATGAGGCATTACGGGTTAGCAAGCTTCTGAACCATGTTTAGAAAAGAGCATTGCACAATCCAAAAAAGGCTACTACAACAATCCCTTAACATATACACCTTTAAAGACTAAAACAGAGTTCACAAAAACCTTTCTAAATTCTACTCGTCTTTGTTAACAACTCAGAAACGATAGGGAGAAATTTAGGTGCGGGACCATAAGTGCTTTTGGTGTTGTTCATTAACCCAAACTGAAGTTTCATTCTGATAATCCATGCATTAGAGGTTGGCATGTTGGATTATTGAGATGAAACTTAAATTTTGATTGGAGAATAGATCCAAAAGTTCCCATGCAGTCCACCTAAGTTTTGTTTGAAGGAGAATTAGGACCTTGAATTTTTATAGCATACTTCCTTATAAGTCCTATACAGGAATCACTCAATTTTCCTAATCATTGCAGCTCCTCAACAAACCTCATTTCGAAAAATTAAACCTCCCTACTAAACAATCCTTTTGTTTGGATACCTGTACTCTATAGCAAAATTATTACAGATGGATTTCTAGACCTCAGACTTCTCTTTCTTTGAAGGTGTCACATGCGGGCCAAGTTCAGCAACAGTAGCCCATTTATTTTACAATGTAAATCAGCTAAGTTTAAATGGAATAATGTTGAGGGATTTTTCATGAACGCATGGTATTTTCTTTTACTGTGGAGCAATTTCTCATCTCTTGTGCAGAAAGTTTTGGAAGACTTTGTCAACTGTCTGGGTTTTTGGGCATAGGCCTTGTATAGTTCGGTGCTTGACTTCAAATAACCACAGATCAATTAAAAATAGGTTTTAAGCATAGTACAAATTATGTTCGTAGCCATGCTTTAACTTGCAAGGTGAATTTACTTGGAGAGTTTAAGAAAATTATGTCTTTTTCAATTATGTAAGTTTTGGGATAAGTTGTGTTTATGGCATCTTTTTGTTGCTTTTGTGATAATTGTGTTGAAAATTTACATTAGTTATATGAGCCATTTTTGTTTGCTTTCTATTTCTTTCTATCCTTTTAGGGGGATTTCTTTCCCTTCTAATAATAATTTTTTGTCCATACATATACTTTCTCTCCTTTCATTCAAATTATATATGTTTCTAAAAAAAATCCAAAAATTGAGAAGCTGTGCACAAATCAAATAAATACCAAGTACACATAGGACTATCAAAACAGATGGGTCTAACTTAGTCTAGGCTAATCTTACCATTCAAGTAAAAAATTTTGATGATCCAATCTAACTTATATTTTAAAATTGACCATATTTTTCTGCCTTGATTTTATGTTAGATCATTTTTTACTTGGTTTAACATTAACAAAATTACAACCTATCCTTACTTATCCAAAAATCTAATTTAAAAAAAATATATATATATAATATTATTATTTTTATTTAATATATATATATATATACATATATATATATATATATATTTTGATAAAATAATATTATTTTTATTTAAAATATAATTATTATTTTATAAAATGGGATAACTCGTTTTTGGTTAACACATCCTAAACCCATTTAGGCCATGGGCCTAAATACACATAAATAATAAAAGCAACAGCATGAAAGTGACAATCAAACCTTTCTGTCCTCTAGAACGGAACTTCTTAGTGTGTCTCCTAATAAGTTCTTTAGCTTTTGTAATCGTGAGCTGCCGCGCAAAAGGAGAGAAATCCATATCACTTTCGCTCCAATCACCTTGAAAATCATTCTCTGCTTCTCCCCTCATAGTTCGGAGCACAAATGCTGCTGCCTTACGGCGTTGAGTATTGAACAGTCCTCTAATGGATGTTACAAATCCATCACCTGCGCCATCACTTGGACGCTTAGGCCAAGATGGTGGATATTGATCAGATTTTCCTGCCTGTCCTTCATTGTCACTAAAATTAAGATCAATTTCAGGAACACCAGCTCCAGTGGGTTGACTCTGGCCTTTGTCTTTAAATTTCCTACCCTACATAATCCATATAAAAGAAACATATTGAAAAGATTTAGTAGAACATTTAAAGCTGCCACAAAACAGGCCTTTATAGTTAACAAAGTGTGTTTTCTTGATTGGTAAAAGACCATTTTAAAGGAAATCATAAAAATAATAATTTCAATCAAGTTCCTATTCTGTCATGTTGCTATGACCACGTGAATTTGAAGTAGGTAAAAACAACTCAGGAGTGGAAAGGTAAACAAGGTTGTATGAGTATTAACAAAATGAAAGGAGAGAGGGAACTGTAAGTCATTCATTACCTGCATTCCAGTCACAGACTTTAGGACTCCCCAGATGATGTGCTTCTTAACACGTGAGAAGAGTCTTCGCCAAGTTCCAGTAAACTCAGTTCGATGAAATTGATCCATCAGTAATTTGAGATCATTTACAACAAATCGTTGCCCTTCATATGTAACCAATAACTCAACCTGTGAGAAATAATCCATTAAAGTTAGCTTCAATCTAAATTTTTGCGTCAGAACTGATGATGGATAACAATTTTACCAAAAGAGCCAAAATGATCAACCTGGCTAATTTTGATGTTGTGAAACTCCATCATCTTTCGTGGTCTAGATCTCTTCCCTTCATGAGACTTGACCACCTTTTTTTCTTCATGAGATGAACGACCACCTTTCACACCTTTTGAATCTTTTGATTTATTCTTACCTACTTCATCTTGTAGCTCAGTAGAACCATATTGGCCATTTTTCGAGGAAGAGAAGCTTTGTAAGACAAGCTCATTAGCTACAGACTCTGCCACAGTCTCTTCCCAAGTTCTGTCAAAAGACGATGTCCTTCTCAACTCAGGAGTTGTACCGGTACCAGAGTTTGCTCTCACATTTTGTGTTTTAGACGCCTACAGGCAGGTTTCAGAAATTCCTTAAGAAAAAACTAGTATCTAAAATAAATAAATAAATTGGGAGAATATAAGAAAAGTATAAGCTATTTTCTTCCCAAACTCTACAATGGAATCAACCGTTAGCATCTGTTGATTGATATTGTTAATAATCTGACCTGACAACCATGTCTTAGAGCATTAATCGAATACTCACTTGAGCTGAGTCAACATGGACTGAAGGCTGACTTGTTGTGGGAAATAGCATTGCAGATATGCCAGATTTGGATGAGGCCTCCGACTCTTTCATTGAGTGACTAGTTGAAGCAGAAGCTTCAAGAAGTGATGAACCTTTCTTCACACGCCTTGCACCAGCAGTGGTTGAAACCTTCCAAACCTCCTGTCCAAATAACTAATATTTTTACTTTTGACAGTTTTTATGATAGCATAGCCTTTTGTTTTTTGAAGATATCATAATATCAAATTATTAATCCTAAACTAACCTGTCGACGTTGGGAATCTTGTTCTTCTTCTGGGAAGAAATATTCCCACATCATTCTGTACATTATCTCTGTCAAATGAATCTTGAGGGGATAAATCTCTACCTATAGTGAAAAGTAAGTTCATGTAAGAAACAAGCTGAACCAATTTAGACGTCCAAAGGAAACCTCTAAAAAATAATAGCAAGTTTAGTTTCAGATTCTGATAAAACAAAATGCAGATTTAAAATTTTCTAGGTCCTCCCAAAACATTACTGTCATTGCTATTGGCTGTTCAATATGAATATGAACTTCACATTGCAATAGTTTTTTCAAAAAAAAGGTGAATGAAGGCATGTTTAAAGAACATTCTGATACTGACTTGGCAGTATTATATTATATTCAGATCTACTTGAGATGAGTATGGAAAATGGTTTCAATTTTCACCAATGACCACCACAGAAATAGCATGAAAGAAAAACCACAAATTTGAATAAGAATGGGTTCCATTTCTCTGCTTGATTTTCCCCGAGTTTAAGTATCCAAAAAACCTATGAGAAATTATTACCTCAAAAAGTTCAAGGGGAGAATTTCCATCCTTTGGGGCTCCCTGTTGTGCATCTACACGTAGCATCACTTTTCTGGAAAAGAATTTCATGAAGGACATGGTCATGCAATACAATACTCGCAACAAATACAGCAAGATTTAATATGCAGTTCCTCACCTTTAAAGATGCATATAAAAATTAAGTATAATAAACACAATTCTTCGGTGAGCCTTCCGCCCAAATGTACTACTTCAGAGTCCAATATATAGCAATTATAAAGAGACAGAATTTGCCCACTTTAAGAGTTCAAATTGAATCCAAAACATACAGTTATTGTATGAGCTCTGGGAATGGTAGGAAATCACAAGCCAAAAAAGACACTGAATAACACAAATAACTATCACATGTTTTCATATTCAACAGAGAAGATAGTCAAGACTTAGGAAATGAGCTAAAAGCCATCATGAATTAGTATAACTTATCTTATTATACAACACTACTGCACCTAACGTTTAAAAACTGCAATAGAAAAGCTGCAATTCATGCAATTCATGAAAAGAGATGGCTATTCTCTTGGAAATTATTTGAACAAAAATATTATTTAGATATAAGAATGATGAAGCTTCTAAACACTATTTTTCCTCCAAATATTATTGTGTTTGTAGACATGCAAAACTATATCAAGACCACAAGCAGAACAAATGGGTAAAGAAAAGGAAGGAAGTTGAATCAGAACCTCATTCAAAATCGAAATATAACCTATCTCCAATGATTCAAGCAACATATAGAGGCATAGTTATTAGGACAGAACGTCGTACTAGAACTTGTCAGATCACAGGTTCATACTTCGGAAAATTGGTGGAGTAAAAATCCATAAGAACCAGCCCAAACTTGGTAAAAACGGATGTAGAAAACCAGTTTGAACCACTTTGACTTTTTTTATTTAATTGAGAATGTTAAGGTTCCAACATAAAACCAATTGGCAATATGTGGAGTAGCCTAACATGTATTTAAACCATACCAAATGACATGAGGTAGGCGATGTGGGACTTTCAACACACCCTCTCCAACGAAGCTTGCCGGACCAGACAAAGGGTACTTTTGACCCAACTAAAGGACAACTTTTGGTCCATGACAATAACCGGAAAGATGTTAAGTTTTGGCTCTGATACCATGTTAAGGTTCCAACATAAAACCAATTGGCAATATGTGGAGTAGCCTAACATGTATTTAAACCATATCAAATGACATGAGGTAGGCGATGTGGGACTTTCAATAGAGAACAATGACATACATCATACATGTGTAGCCTGTTATTTATTATGAATTTTTTTTTTATATTGGACATGTAATATGAACCTCTTGTAAATTTAAAGTCTACCTAACTTCATTTTTTTAGAATTATTTTATTGCTTAATATATTAAATAGCACTAAAAATATATATTTTAATTGTTGCTCTGGTTTAAACCCATTGATAGAAGTTATAACAGCATGACAAATAATATCACAATATCAACATAAGCACCAATGAATTAAGAGAAACTCCAATAAAAATTACATACTTTCCCCATTCAGATGGAGGATCCCATGCCGATAAAAGCATATCAGACTTGACATTAGGCAGGCAATTTCTGACAACAAAATATTTTGTTGTAAACCGGGCAATGCCAACATCCTTGTAATCCCGGTCAAAGTCATATATCTAAGTATTTGACAACATGAAACAGAATTAGTTTAATCATCCAAATTGTGACCAAGAAGAAATGAATAAAGAAAGATACAAAAATTGCCATCAAGAAACCACCATTCTTAGGCAAAGGAGCAAGGACAGGAAACAAAAACCAAACTAGAAAAGACTAATGTGATTTTTCCTTGGTCCCCCATAATAGTTACGGATAAAACATTAAATGGCAAGTTAAAAGGAAAACATAATCGTGTACGAATGCCTTATATGTCATCTAGTAGTGGGAAAAATGCATCTTACCCTGTGTTTGAAATAGCTTTTCACTATAAACAATCACCATTTTATAAAAGTTCTCTCTGGAGGCAGAGAAAAAATGTAGTTATTTATCTAAAATTACCTTAAATTAAACACACATTAAAGCAATAAAATCCAGATTTAGAATGTAATTAATAAATATAAATATTAACTTATTAAGAAAAAGTAGATATTTAAAAGAATTGATATTGAGATGGCATCCTGTACTTCATGAAAGCAAATTTAAGATGGATCCTCTAAATTTTGGAAGGAAAAATGGAGAGAAGAGAGAACAGGTTCAAAAAATAATTCTTACCATGTCATTAATCTCAGCTTCAGCAAAGGATTTACCATCAACAAGCATGCTCCAAACAACTTTGTTAATTTGCAGTGATATACGCATGGCATACGAAGGACTTTTGTTCTTCTCCTTTTCTGTTAGTCGTAGTTGGGCAGCTTTTTGAAGAGCCATCCTTAATGAGGCAGATGCTGCCTTTCTAGATTTTTGAGCAATTACAAGCTCTCTCTTCAGCCCCTGGACCTGTCAGTGTTGACTATTATTGATTAGGTATGCACATCTATGATTTGTCATCTACTGAATATGCATATAAAAGAATAATCTACACATGTCAAAACTACATCACAAACATAATAGCAGAATGAATTTACTTGTGAACACTAGGGATTCCTCAAGTGCCAAGAAAAGTCGGAAGTGATTTGTCATCTACTGAATATGCATATAAAAGAATAATCTACACATGTCAAAACTACATCACAAACATAATAGCAGAATGAATTTACTTGTGAACACTTGGGGTTCCTCAAGTGCCAAGAAAAGTCGGAAGATCCGTTCTTTCTATATCACAAACATACTTGTGAGAATTGTGAATCGTGCACTAGCTGACAGTTGGAATACTACTGTGACTAACTCACAGTTAGTTAGAGAATTGGTTTCAGTTTCTCTAACAGTGCAGCTACAAATAGCTGAACTCATCCTCCATTGTATCTGAATTCCTTTTTCAGAATGTAATCAATTTCTCTGTTTTTCTCTCTGCCTCAATATTTCCACTCCTTAAAAACAGGGGAATGAACCAAAACCAAGATGGAAGCAACGTCTTCAATGAGTAGAACCATAAATTTTGATGGGAGATTGTCCACACCAAGCAACATTCTTAAGAAAATAAAGACTAGTCCTCAAAACTGAAATGGATCTGCAACTTCAATCAGACAAGCAGTAAATTGGATGGCTTCCCAATCTTACTAGATCCTGGTAACGGTGGTTTAATAGAACAGGTCAATGAGTAAACAAACTGGCCAATCCATTGACTAAACAAACCAGGGAACCAAGTATTGAGTAAGTGACATTTTAGTGGGAGAAAGAACACTTCGCTGCTAACTCTGGGAATCAAACAACACTGGACTGAACTAACTAAGCTTCTGAACCATTAAGGCCAAATTTGATCATTATGTAATATATTATATGCGGATTTTGAGTAAATGTCCATCTAGTCTAGTCAACAAATTATTTTATATATATATAAATATAATTGGCTCCTCAAGGTCAATTAATGCCATCAGATGGGTTCTTAAAGTATCATCAAATTGGTCCTATAAATATATATTGCTATTAGAGGCTCAATTCGATGTTGCCAATAAATGGAAGACTACTGTGACGTTGATGATAACAAAGAGATTGAGGAAGCTAAATGATACAACTTCGTATTGATAGGTTTAGAATGGACTTTTTGAAATCCTAGCATCAACTCCCTAGAATCAGAATAATAAATGTATAGAACCGTAATATTAACGGTCTAATATATATGCAAAATCAAAATATTCCAATTAACATTTAAACCTATTATTTTCAATTTAATTTTATCTAATAAAACTCCCCACTAAAATTAAATGTTTCTCATCAAATAATTGAGATCGGTGAAAGACCAATATGACCAACTTCATTGCTTCTTTCATCCTTTATTTTAGGTCTAACTTGTTCCCAATCCTTTGTCTCTCTTCTTCTTGAATACCCGCTTCACACCAATACGTTGAGCATAGTTCGACAATTCAGTCATTGCTCACATATCGTTGTGTTCTATAACTCTTTTTGTCCATAATAACTCATCTCTTAATCTTTTTCCTACACTTTCCAACCCTAATATACTTCCGCTCTTCTAGACTCACCTTTGTATGTTTTTCTCTCAAAGTAGTTTTATTCTCAAAAGAATACAATGATAAATAAGCTCGGACAAAGTTGTTTCTGAATTTACTACTCAAACTTACCTTAACCAAGTTCAACTTCGGACAGAAAGAGTGAGAGATCCACAATCTCCTGACTTAGTTGTTTCTTCCTCTACTTTGTTCAACATTAGATATTGGTTTTCATCACGACCAACATCTTGATCATCATGAATCAACTCGATTAGACCACAAAAATGCATGTGATCAGATCGATGATCTCTCTTCAACAATGTGTCCTCTACGTTTAGTGTCAGACACCTCTCTTAAATGCTTCTCAACTATAACTTGTATGTTCTATTCTTCCCTTCTTAATTTGGTTAATCAATCTTCCGAGCTTATCCTTTAGTTGTAGTACTCGGTCTTTCATGAATATTGAGTATCCTCTTTTTCCATCAGTTATCTCATACTCAAAAGGTTACTCTTGCGATTTGGAATAAACATATCTTGGATTGACCCGATTAGACAATCCCTTTATAAGAAGTGGATCGTACCTCAATCTTTTACCAAGACCTTTGAAGCATCTCCAAAAGACACATGATTGCCCTCAATTTTCTCCAATTCGCTGAATAGGTACTCTTCCCAGCAAATGTGGTTTCTTGCACCTGTGTCTAGATACCATACCAAGTCATCATTATTACCTTCACGTCTTTCCGAGCTGTAATCTGCTCCCATGTGTACCGCCGAGTTGTAAATGACATTCTTGTAATTTGTTAAGTTATGATTTGTCATCAACAATAATTGTTATCCAACTTCCACATCTTCAGCAAGGTTGATTTTCTCTTCCAACTTTTTATTAGGTCGGCATTCTTTAGCGAAATACCCAATCTTACTACAATTGTAACACTTGTCCGAGTAACAATCCTTTGCATAGTGGTCATATTTGCCAAACTTAAAGTACTCAACATTATAGGTCGATGTTTGACTTCCTCTCCAACCACGTCAGCTTTGTTGGTTTCCTTTTTTCACCTCACCACCTCTACCACCTCGACCTTGACCTCGACCATTACGTCCTGTTCTCTATCTCAAAAGTTCTAATAGTAGATAGTTTTCTCTTCTTTCACAACTATCTCATTTTGGAGCGCTTGAATTGTTGTCTCCTCCTTATTTTTCTTCTTCCGTTGTTCATAGGCTTCAAGAAAACCAACTAGCTCTTGTACCGCTTAGACGGGTCTTATGATTGCCCTATCAAGCACACTACATTCTCAAAGTGATGGGTTAGCGACCTCAAGATCTTCTCCATAATGTGGTCTTCAGAAAACGCCTCTCCATTCCGATTTAGTTGATTCGCCATAGTTTCAACACACGTGATCTTCACTTATGATCTGCATGATATCTTCGCAGAGATTATGATCTGCATGATATCTTCGCAGAGCTTATATAACATATCAATGATATTAAATTTGATAAACAAACACAAGCAATTAAAACAACTTTTGAGAGGAGAAAATCCTAAATATATATGCATAGATACATGGACAAAGAAGATTAGAAAAGCACATGGTCACCTTAAAATATGACATTAAAAAATTCCAGCTGAGTTGATCTTTCATGTTCTACTGAATATTTGTTCCTCTGATTAGAAATATATATATATATATATATATATGGATATGAAAAGAAGGTTAAGTAGCACTCCTCCCAACAACCTGTAATTTACTTCTAACAGCTAAAAATCAACCTCTAATTTGTAATATATATATGTGTGTGTGTGTATATATATATATATATATATATATATATATATATATATATATATATATATATATATAAACCAAGCAAAATACTTGCCTCTAATTTCTTTGTTTGTCGACACAACAACCAGAATTACCTATACTATAGATAAAATTATCTAGCCACATCAATTAAAAGATTGTTAAAAAGATTCATTTCTTACCAGCAAAGATCTTCCACCAGATATCATCCATAAGTCACTTTCCTTTTCTTGATGTGGATCCCCGGAAGGGTCACACCAAAGAGATAATTTTCTAATATCATCAAGAAGCAACCTTTGTTCCCTCTCCTTTTTTTCAAGGTTTATTTTTGCAAGCTCTACCTCTTCAACACCATCAGGAACCACCTCATCAGCTTCCTCTTCAACATCCTCATCATCTTCAGCAGGAAAGGATAAGCTACTTTTTCGAGGCCTGCATCATACAGTACGCTAATTTAGTTTGAACAACTCATCATACAGCACAACATCAAGGACTTTGTTTAAAATTTCTTAACAGGTAAAAGGATATCACATGTTGAATAATTATCACGTAAGTGAACTAACTATAATATCTAAATTGAAACGAAACCTATAAATTAAAAGCACAAGATTGATTTAAACATTTTAATGAAATGCAAAATTAAAAAAGATGATTATTGCGGCATCAATAAGGAGTGAACACAATGAGATAAATAGTACATGAATAAGGAGTGAACCACAAAAATACATGAGTGTTTGGAGTAGGTGAATAGATAAAAGTGTTATAGACTGAGTGCAAGCACAGTAATTTGTCCTTACTTAGGCAGGCGTGCAAATAGAAGATTGGTTAATACATCCAGCATGACCTGAAACTGGCGTGATGTCATTGTTGCCTCTATATCATGGGAATTAAATGTGAGCTCCTTCAGAGGCTTCACCTGCAGTGGGTTAAAAAAATGAAATTGAGCATTGACCACATCCATTACCAATGATATATTTAGGGAACACATGTATTTACTAAGGGGTAAACATTACAAAATTTACATGTTCACAGATAATAGGTCTAGAAGGACTTACCTTCAGTTCTGGAGTTCCCCCTTTGTGCCTTGTATACCGGAAGTACATACTACAAGGCATAAAAACTCTTTCAAGAAGAGCACCTGTTCGCATAACTTTAGGAGAGCTTCTGAGAATTTTTGGAAGCCACTGCAATCCAGCTCCTGGATCAACATCTGTTGGTGCAACATGAGCCTGCACATGCTCCAACATAACAGAGAATTCCATTCTTTTCCATGTCATTTCAGGTTGGTATTCATTAATAGGAACATCTTTAGTAACAAGTGCTTGTTCAATCATCTCATAACCAACATGAAGGACTGAGTGAAATGAACGAGCTAAAACTTGGCCTCTAACAGCAGCAAGCAAAAATCTACCCTGTTTGACAAAAAGAAATGATATTTAAGAAAGAGTGAGTGATGTCCACAGTATCAATAAAAAAATAAATAATTCAAATAAAGAAGTATATGAGGTAAAACAACTAACGATCTATTGGAGTTTACATGTATTGTCACTAACTCTCCGTTAGTAATATATTGGATATATTCAGAAAAGAATGAAGATAAAGTGAAATATTTTATTATTGATCAGAATAGAGAAGAGTACAAAATTTATAGTCAAGTTTGAGAATAGTCTTGAGGAAGCTAACTGTGGTGTGGAGTAGTCTAATAACTGAGATTCAGTTGCAATGTAGGAAATCACCTACTACAAAGACTACAGTGAATATTTTACACCTTACTGACATACACCCCACAGATAAACATACTCCCAGCTTTCCAAGATATGTCTAGCACCTTTTTCAGTTGCAACATTCAATTGTTTATGCCTTTTGTTGCTTGAATCTTTGACATAGTGTTTTCATCATTAATTTTAAAAACACATCATTGCTATAAGCTACTCAATTCAACGCACACGTCAAATAATTATTATTATAATAATATCAATGCTAATATTAACCATCTTAAAGATTTCTGTTGATATAACATTTTTAAACATCGATTATTACAATTAAAAAATGTCATTATATGCTTATATATATATAAAAACTAAACAACTGTCACATGTTATATGCATATTTCTTTTAGTTGCAGTAATTTTTTAGTTAATAATTTTATTAATTTATTGACTTTACACTTACGTAAACAATGGGTGGGGATACGGATATACACGTACCGAATGGGTACAAGATGAAGACTAAGTTAATACCCATGCGCATATGACGGAGGGTACAATTATTTTTTTTTTTTTTTTCAAATGTGGGTATGTATCGGGAACCATAGTACCTTATCCAAACCCTATCCATTGTCATCCCCATTAAGGATACGGAAACATAAAATGAAAAGGGACCATAAAAATGAATTTAAGAAAGAAATAATTGAAAGTGAAACAACAAAAAACCAAAAGATGAATCTGTAGTTTTATACTCACATTTGCATCCTCTGAGTGAAGATTAAACTGAGGTTCAATAACATTCACCATGAAATGTGGAGTCCCATCTGAATCATCCATGTTCTCTTTTTTGACTGGCGATATACCAAAGTGGGTAAAATAATTAAGCTCCGTAAAAAAATGCTTAATGTTTAACAATAATTTGCAAGTAGCGATGCTGATTATTGTAGCTGATGGCATATTTATCATGTATGTTTATCTAGTTTCTGAACTAATTTGAATGTATATATATTGATAGCAGAGCAGGTAACAAAAATTCGCAAAAGAAATTGAATATACCAGATGGCAAGTTGTCCACTTTAACTGAATTTGGTGAAGATGTAAGTGGTGCAGGAGTACTTGCATGCTGAAAAGAAGTCTTGGAAATTTTACCAGTTGGAGGGGCCTTAGAAACATCATCCTGATGGAGATCGGCACCACCACGCTGTTTGTTTTCCTCGAGTAATTTTCTCTGTGCATACTGCTGAGAAGGAGAAGGCTTGGCCGGTTCAAAGGCTTTGGATAGACCACCAACCCAAGCCCAAACAGCATCTCTATTTCCAATAGTCCACAAAAGCTTCAGACCGTACACAAACACACTCTGACAATCATCAGCTACTACCACGTTGTTACCATCGTCATCACTTAGGTCGGATCTCATATGATCATCTGTTTCACTCCCATTTTCATACCCAGACCGTATATATGTCATCTCAACACTTCTTCTTCCTGCTTCTTGCCACGCTAATAACCTAGCAGGATCAGCCTTTGGAGATTGTCTCCTGATGGTGAAGTAATCAGAGGATAACAGAAATCCATCATCACGATTTTTCTCTGTCATGTAACCCTTTTCACTGGGAACTTTGTCCATGGATATAGATTGTGAACTTTTCATGATCATGTTAACAACTTTGGCAACACTGGCACATTCTTCTTTATTTAGGAAAGCCTTGATCATATGAAGATCAAGACCTTGGTAAACAAGATCAAGAATGTCACGCTTGCTTTCAAAAGTATACTTTTGCTTGCCCCTACTGTAACACAGCTCATATTTCAGTTTTGTCATTCCAAAGGTCAGTCCTCTGGCTGGATCGTCATCATCTAGAGGCATGTTCTTTATACAGGCAGGCGTGGCATCTAGGCGAAGCATAAATTCAGTCATCACTTTATCTAGTGAAAGATTGCCAGACCTGGCAATTCTTGGAATACCAAAACGAGGCCAGCGAGAGAAGCTGCGCAGCTTATGTGGAGGAATGTAGTTCAAGCTCCAGAACTTTAGAATCCATGCTAGATCATGAGCTCCAAAGTTAAATGTTGGGGACACAGGTGAAACATTCTGGGATGTGTGAAAAGGATCAAATGCAGCAGCATCTCCTTCTATATCTCTAGTAATGGAAGATGAAGACTGTCTTTGTGATGGAGAAGGAAAGGGTCTAAGAGAGAAGTTCCATCGAAGGGAAAGTGAAGTGGATCTGAAGGGATCAAATACTTTATCACGAGGTTTGCTCTCAACTGGAAGGGAAAATAAATAATGATTCATGGGATCTCCAGATTCACAATCCCAGTCCATTGTAACTTCAAGAGTAAAGACAGGAGCTTCCAGAAATGCACCTGAGACACCTGTTGGAATTTTAATACCTCGTCTGTTTGCCAAACTCTCCAAACTACTCAACAAAATCTTAAAATCTTTGGCAGAAACAAAAACACGGCCATCAGACTGATGCATTTCCATAGAGTTGGTAACAATTTGAAGTTTATCAACCTTTTCATAAGGATCTGTACTTGCTAAAACATTCCATTTTGATTCAGAAAAGATTAAGGAAATTCTTCCATGGATGTAATTTCTCATGTCATCCCACCATGGCAAACTCCGTTCCTTTTTTTGTGGCAGAATAAGTGGACCAGGATTCCTAACACTTAGATTAGCCCTCCGAAGTGCTACGGTGAAAGCATAACTAACATCAGCAAAAGCTGGTTCGTAACCCACCCCATATGATACCTCACCTTTCTGGAAATGTATTGGCAAGTCTGAGTATGTCTTCATGGGTGGAGTAGTACCACTAGCTGATCGAAGCATACGAACTATTCTCCATCTCCCAACATAGACATCTTGATACATTTGAGGCTGAAAGCTAGTTGCCTAGTTGAAACAAATGAATAAATAAATAAATCACAATGAAATGGAAATACTATCATGTTTATTATATCATGAGAATAATCCCCCAAAAAAGGGTAAAAGAATTTAGTTTGAGTAACAGGAAACATGCATTCACGTGAACATTTAAAAATCATAATTGAAATACACATAAGCAAAGAATAAACATAGAATACATGTATGCATACAGGTTTGGAAAATACAATTATAATAAGGTCCTATTAAGGTACAGGAAACGTACATACGTGTTCTGCTATGGTTGAGGAACAGAAAAAATATTCTACATTCAGGTAACTATTTCTGAATTCCTTCTGTACATTAATATGACCTTATTAACCAAAGAATAACCAGAACATGTAATTAACATAAAAATGAAAAAACTGTGTATTTTGAAGGATGGTAGACAATGAGATTTTGTAAGTTTACCTGCTGTGCCAATACAAGTCGGCCTTCACATTTACCAAAACTTCCAGAGAAAAGAGGAAATGTGTAATTTCGAAGCTGAACTACAAGAGAACCTGTATTTAAGAGAATATTTGTCCCATACAGTCGGGAAAATGGTATATCATTTTCAAGACAGACAGGATCAAGCTTCTTCAGAACCTCAATCATCCCAACATCTCCACCGTCAATTTTTTTCAAGCTTACATCTAAATCTAAAGCAGATATTGAAAGAAGAGATGTCCTTGATGTACTAGGTCTGAAACCAGATTGAAAACCTTCAGCATAAGCACCAGACCCTTCAGACAACACAAGATTCTGGCATGCCTGGTAATATGATTGAATTGATCGCTTATAAATTTCTTCTCTCATAGACTCAATAGTAGAAGAATCTTTTACATTTACCTCAACATTATTGAAGAAAATTTTTCTTTCTTGAGAAGAACTAACAGTATCAGTTGATTTGGAACCTTGTTTTGCCTTCGATATAAATTCATCTAGAAAGTTCAGCCGAATAGCTAACTCAGCAGCTTCTTTCTTCAGCAGCTGATAATGTTCATCAAACCATCCCTGGATTGGTTCCTCTTCAATTTCAGCAGTTAGCTTGCGTATGCAAAATTTTATGCATCCAAATTGTACGGAACTAGGTTTCTTAACCTTGGAGCTCTCGTTCTTTACAGGAAAAATCATTTTTTTCTTGGCAGCAATTATGAGCTTCAAACCTCGCAACATATCCTCGATGACATCATCAATGGCACGCAATTGCAATCTGTATGGCATGACAATGTGAAAATCAAGACCTTGGACTACCCAATCCCATGTCGTGACATGTCCTTTTGTATCAGATGTACTTGCAGAAACACTAGGAATTCGTGAAATTTGCATCCTACTACTCTTAAAGACTCTAGCTCCATTAAGGCTAAGCATGAGTCCTTCAAGGAGTACTCCTATACGAGCATTCTCAGAGAAAATTGACTGCACCTGAACCATAGCATCAACTCCATCTCCTAGCCCAGCCGTAATACCTAAAGTTTCTACATCAACAGCAAAAATAGATTCTTTCCTCTTCTGCTTTTCAAGGTGCCCTGATTCAATGTTAGCATCTTTTTTCCAATTAGCATCTGACACATCTTCCATGTGGTCATTGCCATGCTCCTTAAGCTTGCTATTGTGTACAAGTAGCTTCAGCTGGAAAACAAGTTCAATTAGTGATAGATGTACATCAGGCTCCCACCTTACAGTAATATCGGTAGCACTGAAAAGAGAACAGACAGCAATGTCTTTAAGCGCACCTGATCGCTGCACAAATTTAGCATTATGCATATCAAACAATACCATGTTTGTTACTGGCTTATTTTCCTCCATATATTCCTCATAGACAGATCTGGCTCTTTCAAGTTCCATCTGTGTGGAATGTTTCTCTTTGTTCGCACAGAAACTAAATTGAAATATTTCAAGAGAGACAGAGTACTTCAGCTTCTGGTTTTCATTGGAAATAGTGGAGACTATATTTGCATTACGTTGGGTACCATCTGCTGACACATTTATCATAACTCTACCCCCTTGTGATCCATAATTAACTCGCTTAGGATCTGGAACAGTTGTATTTTCCAAACCTGCCTCACCCCATACATATACTGAACACCTTTCAAGATTGAATTTCAAAAATTGAGTTCCTTTCCCAGAAGATTTTGTAAGACGCCCCTGACTATGAGTCACCTTTTTCTTTGAAGCAGATAAGCTTTTCAATAGAGCTTGAAAAGATATGGCTGTTGACACAAGTGATTCTACACGCTTGAAAGTTAGGCATATTGCCATGCCAGTCACATCAACTGCTAAACCTAGTCTACACCTAGGACCATCTTCTTCGGATGATTCCACATCCTTTTTCCCCCAATCCAAATTAACCTTCGCAATGTGCATAATGGAGCCACAATTTGATTCCACACCAAAAACACTTTCTTTCAAGCATTCTTGATATTCATCAGCTAAGTGGAGATTTAACTCTCCAAGTTCAGTGTGTACTGTAGTCCCCATATTTGAAATGTTGTTTGCAAACAAATGTGATGATTGTGAGCAACCCTAAGTTTTGAGAGCAATAAAACAAATGTCAACGTATTTATACAGCTAATTTAAATAATATGGGGATATAAGCATAACTACTCTAAATGACAATTATCAACATTGGAGGTATAATCAATAATGACAAGGTAGAAAGGAATTTAAATTTCAAGAAATAGAAAACCAAACCACCAATATATTTCCAATGTATGAAAACCAGAGTAATATATAATATTTATTTGTTGTAAGTATAGCTGTTTCTAGCCATGTAATATCTGATCTAGAGGAAATAGAATATCATATATTTATGTACAATTAATGCAATAAACCTATATAAAACACACTCATTGTGTATTCAAACATATTGCTTCAGTTCAATATCTTTGTTACCTCGTTCATATCAGTATGAATCATAACTTAGGCAACCTTCAACAAAACAATCAAAATAAATATGCTTCATATCTATACCTCACCTCAGACATATTAGCATCATGCTACCACACATTAACAACAGTTTCTAGAAATGCTTCAACGTTTCAACACAAAATAATAAATTTTTTACAACAACAAGAAGTATATATAATCATGATACTTACATGATAAACAGGAGAACCAGCCATATTGAAAAGCACTATGGTCATCTCAGGAGCTGAGACATTATATGTCCACATGATTGTCTTGCCATCAGTTGGTTGAGGCTTTGCAACAACGGATGCTTCTTCTCGAAGTACCATCTTTTTCTTCTTAGAAGAAAGGAGAAAGAACCAAGGCTTTAACCTGCTCATTATGATGTTGCACTGAGTACCTCCTAACTTGATTTCAGTTTCAGCTCTAACAGGTGATATTGGCTGATGCAGAGGAAGCATCCCCAATAACGATAACAGTAAGTTACCACAGTAGATAAAAAATAATATTCAAACTCCATGCGCAAATAAAAACAAAATAACATAACCTATATTTAAAAACAAAAAAAGAGGGGGAGAAGACAAATCATGAGCACATATAAAGTTACAGTTTTTAAGGTACCCAAAAAAAAAAATTACCTGTTTTCTTGAAAATTTGTTTCCTTTTTGGCAACAAGATTCTTTTTTTTTCACTTCTAAAAGAGGATATATTTATTTTTCCAGTCCTTCTGGAAAAATGTTAATGTCAATTGTTTGTCAATTTAGGCTCCTACTAGTGACACTGGTACTTGACCTAATTATTATTAGTACAAGTACAACATACTTTGTCATCCCACAATCATAATTCATGTATCCCAATTTAGTGACAGTTGCTTTTCGTATAAAACAAAAGAAGTAACAGTTTTCTCTAAAGCATAGAAATAAATTTCCAAGAGCCAATGTATATATCAGTAATTTCTCCATCTTATTATCAGACATCTGTGAAGCACCGACACGGCTCCCCTCATCCATGTCGGAGTGTCGCGGACGTTTGGGACACCGACATCGCCACGACACTTCGCGGAAGCGTGTCCGACTCTTTTTTGCAGTGTCCCCTACACCAAAAACGCGTCGCGAGGCTTCGATTCATGTGGATACAGCGTGACCTAAATCCGACACGGTGCCAGACACGGCTCCAACTCGGGTACAGCTTTTATTAAAAAAAAATTGAATTTTTTCTATTTACTTTTTTCTCCCACTTTTCTTCCTTCCTTCCTCTGCACGTATCCTTCCTTTCTTCCTTCCTTCCTCTGCACCTTTCCATTTCTGCACCAAAGCTTTCCTTTTTTCCTTCCAGTTTTCCTCTGCTGTGTGCTACTGTGCAGTTAATCCGAGAGCACAGACCACACAACGCTCTCTGCCCAATGAACTCCGAAATAACGAAGTAGTTGAATAGTCACTGTTAGCAATGTTGGCAGGGAAAGAGCGGAGGCGAGAAGGGCAATGTTGGCAGGGAAACAAATGAAGAGCCAGAAGATGAAATTCCAACCCATTTACAGAGAGGGAGGAATATCGGGTTTGTGAAAGAGAAAAGGGTAGAGAGTTCATTGTTGTTCAGGTATTCCACTGCATCATGCTCTCTTTTGTCTGTCCATTGTTTAGGTCTTTGTTTTGCTTTGTTTTCCTTTATAATGTTTCATTTTTTTTATTAGAATGCGATAGTTATGGAATTATGAACATAGAGAGTGTATTTTTCAATGATGATGATCATGAAGACCACTGTCTTTAATAGATTTGATTCATCTTCTTATTTTGAGACTTTCTTTTTGTAAAAAGACAAAGTTTTTATATTGTGAAATAGTAGTTCTTAGTATTTTTTGGTTAGGATATCATATGAAAATTGTAAAATCTAACAACTTTGTCTTGAGAAGATGAATGAACAAATCTTAATTTTTTAATTTATATATTTCTCATTTGAATCATATTTAAATTTTTATTCATGTCTAATATATATAAGGTGTCCCGTGTCCTATATTTTAGAAGTTTGTCGTGTCCGCGTGTCCGTGTCGTGTCTCGATGTCCGTGTTGGAGTCAGTGCTTCATAGTCAAACATTGACATCTTGCCACTTGTACATAACTTAAGCAAATTCTTTTACAACAAAATGTATTTGTTTGCATGATAATCTCAAGCATAAAACTAATTGCATTACAAAAGCTCTTGAAGTAAAAATGGCAAGACTTCCAATCGGCCAGCTAGCTTTGCAATGAATTCCTTGTACACACACCTATATATTTATGTGTATTTATATATGTTTACAATATTTTTTCATTATTCAATTTGAGTATATTTTTTCCAGGTGAATCAAACCAAGAGGTGTACAGTTTTACAATGATGCAAAAGCTACATTACATGGATAGCAAATCACTTACCTGTACTGGGATATATACAAAAGAGACCAAATCCACCTTCAATATCTCCAGGATGGAAGAACCGGCTTCTCTCAGAAGCTTTAATATCAATCAGGCAAAATAAAACTTGTCAGCAAGAAACAAAACAGTGAAAAGTAGGAATCATATCACAACTCTGCCAAAATCAACAGACACCTTACATGAATTTCACTGAACTCCATCTGGAAATCAAGCCGTATACTCTCCCCAAGATCCTCTGTGGATCGTGATTTGGTGCTTTTCAATTGGATGCCCATGATGTTGTTTTCAATGGAAAGACCATGTTCTCGATGCACAAAACTCACATCCAGCTTTGGAAGATTGAAGCTGACCTATGAATAAAAATATACTTAAACAGTTGACATCAAACATTTTAAAAAACCTTTAAAACCATTTCCATAAGTACTTTTATTAGATCAAACCAACAAATATAACCAAAATTGATCATCAATTTAAACATTATAAAGTGTACAAACACTTTCAATTTCTATGGGACCCAAATTTCTAAATAAAATGTACTAAGGGAAGCCAAAATTCACCAAGAACACAAACATTGGAACACATACGCAGAGAGACTTACAAGTGAAGGAACCACATTTTGCCCAAAAGCCAAATTCTAGTGTCCAGCAAGCCATAAACAGTAACAGAATCAAGACTTTGAAGCAACAAGAACATAACTTATGCAGTTTCTCTACCCTTCATATTTCTGAAAAAAAATGAAAGTTGCTTGAAAAACTAGAGCTATCCACAACAAGGAAACCCATAACCAAAGCACCACATCAAGAGCATAAAGAGTGAGGAAAGCTGCACAAAGACGCATCATTACACCACACAATCAACCAAAAAGAAAAACTGATCATATGATGCATCTTTCCAATTAGGTAGACCAATATTCTCCCCAACACAACGAAAACATACGACATTCAGAATTAGTAATAACACAGTAACACAGAACAGAAATAAAAAGGATAAATAGGAAACCACTAGACAATACAGATAGTTGGTGGGGGTGAGGGGATTCAGCTAGTTTGAACTAAGCAAAATCAATGCACTAATAGTTCATCATAAAAAATAAAGTTGCCACCAACACATTTTTTAGTTCACTAGTGAAAAAAAAAACATTAGAGAAGAGAAAGACAGATGAACAAAATTATATTTGTACTATTGCTCCTAGACTCAACAAGAAATGCTTTATTAGAAAAAGAGCAGATACTAGACCGAAGAGCTACAATGGTGTCAAGGCCTGTATGTTAGTGAACATATTAGAGAAAAGCAGAAAAAGTAAAATAATGCCAGAATATCCAGGCAAAAGGTTGTAGATGAACATGATCTTGTCGAGTTATGAGAATCTTTTGTTTGATTTACAAGAGTTGTATTAAGTAGGATAGTTGAGATGCTACAATTATTACTAGGTAGACTTATATATCATATTAGACTTTTATACCATATTAGAATTTGGGTTTGGACCAAAGGTCACCCTAGAAAATTGATTTATATTACACACTTTAATTAGGATATATCACTAGTCGATGTAAAATCTCTAATAGAACCAAAAAGAAAGGGAAAAAATACAATAGATTCAAGCAAAATACATGAAGTGATAAATGTCCTGAAGATAGTAGTATGCAAACTTCTGACATCCAACCAAAACAAATGATTTCTCTTAGAAGATGAAAATGAATGATATTTTGTTGAAATATTTATTAGTTTAATTGTATCTTGTTGGGCATTTATGAGATTAGTTGTAGGCCTAGTTCCTAGAATGCATCTATTTATCTTCTCTAGGATTAATCATTTCTCTCTATTAATTTTATCTCTGAATCTGTATTTTTATCTCCTATAAATAAGAGAACACAAGAGAATGATTTTAGGCTCTCAAAACCAGTTCTTTATTTTCCTTTTTCTATTTCAAGTTGGTATCAGAGCGTGTTCATCTCGCTCTGCCTGTCTCTGCTTTTTTTTCCGGCATTAATCGCTGCTCACCGCCGTCCGCCGCCGTTCGCCACCGGTGCAGTATTTCTCCGGCGCCATTTCTCTCTCTGACACTTGGGTTAGGCTCACCTCGAGGAGCGTGACCCAACCCCAGTGATCGCTTCCTCCGTCTCTGCCTCACGCACCGCCACGCGCCACCTTCGTTCGCGGCTTCCTCCGCGCGTGAGCCTCACGCACCGCCCTCCCGGTGGCTATTTTGCTCTAGACCACCTCTATCCGGCTCGCCTCGTCGCCCTGGTGCCAGATCTGCACTTTGTTGTGTTCTCAGTCCCAAAACGTGGTGGGTCTGCATTTCTCTCTCTGCCTCTCTCTACTTCCATAGACACCACGCTGGTCCTTTCTTGTTTCCTGGAAAATGTCAAGACCTATGTCTGTATCTTTTTCTAGGACTCCGACTATAACCATAAAAAAATTAAATGGAAAAAATTATTTGTCTTGGGCTTCCTCTGTTGAGCTCTGGTTTCTAGGTCAAGGAGTTCATGATCATCTAGAAGAAGATGGAAATACTAAACCAGCAGATCAGGCTCCTCAATGGAAGAAACTGGATTATCAACTTTGTGCACTATTATGACAATCTGTTGAACCAAATATTTTGAGCACTCTTCGATCCATCAAGACATGTAATTCTTTTTGGAAAAAGGCCCAAAATATCTTTGCTAATGATATTCAACGACTCTATGATTCTGCTAATAGACTAGCCTCCCTTAAGCAAGAGGATAATTACATGATGTCCTTTGTTGCTGAAGCTCAATCAGCAGTTGAAGAATTAAAAATGTTCCTGGAGGCAGAATCATTAGAGGAAAGAAAGACGAAGCTGGATAAATTCTATATGGTAATGATTCTTAGGGCTATGAATCCAGAGTTTAATCATGTTAGAGACCAGATTCTAACTGGAGAAGAAGTTCCTTCTCCGGAGAGTTTTATCACAAGGCTACTTCGTGTTCCTTCTATCAAAAGCAAAACCAGTCAGGAACTTGTTGATTCTTCTGTCATGATTTCTGCTCGTGGAAGAGGTAATCACAACACTAGAGGACGTGGTGGGAAAGGACGTCCTTAGTGCTCTCATTGCAAAAGAATGGGACATACTAAGGAAAATTGCTCTGCACGGCTTTCCTGATAAGGCAGCTAATAGCTCAAAATCTGAAGCTCATGAGCCCAAGTTCTCTCATGAAGAGTATCAAGAATATTTAAGAATGAAATCAACCAATTTGGCTCAAGCATCTACAACACCAAATTCGTCAACCGCTTGCATTTCGCAATTTGTAGAAAGTCAAAATCCGTGGATTATTGAATCAGGTGCTTCTGACCACATGTCTGGTAATACCTCTTTATTCTCCTCTCTTTCATTTCCTAAAACCTCCCATCTCATATCTTTAGCTAATGGATCTAAAGTAGTCTCTAAAGGAATTGGTCAAGTATCCATCTCTTCTTCTTTAAACCTTCAAAATGTTCTTTGTGTTCCTTCTTTTCCATTCAGTCTTGTTTTTATAAGCCAATTAACCAAATCATTGAATTGCTCAATAACCTTTAATGCCAATTGTTTTGTTAACGTGGTACGAGTCGACTGATTGGAGAGGGACATGAATCTGGAGGCTTATACTACCTTAGGACTAAGTCATCTGTATCTTTTGTTGCATCCTTATCCCCAAAACTGTTACATGAGCGATTAGGGCATCCTCATTTAACAAAATTGAAAAAAATGGTTCCTGAACTTCAGAACCTTCAAACTTTTGAATGTGAATCATGTCAACTAGGGAAACATATCAAGTCATCCTTTCCAAATCATTCTAAATCTAGATGCGATTCTGCTTTTAGTATTGTTCATTCAGATATATGGGAACCTAGTCGTGTTTCATCTTTTGGTTTTAGATATTTTGTTACTTTTATTGATGGGTTTTTTAGATGTACTTGGGTTTATCTTATGAAATATCGTTCTGAACTATTGCCTATCTTTAAGTCTTTTCTTAGTGAAATCAAAACTCAATTTGGAAAAATAATCAAAGTTTTACGAAGTAATAATGCCAAAGAGTATTTTTCTAATGATTTTTCTAATGTCCTAAATTCTCAAGGCATTTTACACCCGTCCACGTGTCCTCACACATCACAGCAAAATGGTATAGCAGAACGAAAAAATAGACATTTGGTTGAAACTGCACGTACCTTATTGCTTGGTGCCAATATGCCTATTCATCATTGGGGAGATGTTATTCTAACTGCATGTTTTCTCATTAATAGAATGTCATCTTCTTCTCTTGACAATAAAGTTCCACACTCTATTCTATTTCCAAAGGAACCAATTTTTCATGTTTCTCCTAGGGTATTTGGATGTATATGTTTTGTTCATGATATGTCTCCTGGCTTAGATAAACTCTCACCTAGAGCTATCAAATGTGTCTTCTTGGGGTATTCTCGCCTTCAAAAAGGATATCGGTGTTATTCTCCTGAAACCAATAGGTACTACATGTCTGCTAATGTCACCTTTTTTGAATCATCCTCCTTCTTCCCTTATTCTATGCAGGATATTGATTCTGTCCAAAATGTTTTTCCTATCCCCTTAGTTGAATCATTTGTACCTCCTATTCCTGACACCCCAAATCCCAACCAAAATACTATAGAATCATCATCACAGCCTATCATCACCTATCAACGCAGGAACCAGGTGAACAATCTCATTCCCCAAGATGAGCCATCCATAACAGGTCCTTCTCCATCATCCTCTAATACCACGGCTCCTAATAACGATGACTCCAATTGGCTAATTGTCATTCGCAAAGGTACTTGTTCTACTCGTAATCCTCATCCCATTTAAAATTTTCTTAGTTATCATATATTGTCTCCTTCCTATTGTTCTTTTATTTCCTCTGTATCCTATATTACAATTCCCAAAAATGTGGTCGAAGCACTTGATCATCCTGGATGGCAACAAGCCATGATTTCTGAAATGCAGGCTCTTGATCACAGCAAAACACGGGAGCTTGTTCCTCTCCCTTCGGGAAAGAAAACAGTTGGTTGTCGTTGGATTTATGCTATTAAAGTTGGGCCCAATGGTCAGGTTGATCGTCATTGTGATACTTTTTCTCCTGTAGCCAAAATGACCACTGTCCGCTTGTTCCTTGCCATGGCCGTCGTCATTGGCCTCTTCATCAATTGGATATTAATAACGCTTTTTTGCACGGTGACTTAGAAGAAGAAGTTTACATGGAGCAACCTCCTGGATTTGTTGCTCAGGGGGAGTCTGGTTTGGTTTGTAAACTACATCGATCCCTCTATGGCCTAAAACAGTCTCCATGTGCTTGGTTTGAAAAATTCAGCTCTATTGTTCAAGCTTTTGGATTAAAACGCAGCGAAGCAGATCATTCAGTGTTTTATTGTCACACTGCCCCTGGCAAACATGTTTATTTAATTGTGTACGTTGATGATATTGTCATCACAGGGAATGATGCTGCTAAAATATCTCAGCTAAAAGATCACTTGTGTAGTCATTTTCAGACCAAGGATCTTGGAAATCTAAAATATTTCTTGGGTATTGAAGTAGCTCAATCAAGAGAAGGTACTGTCATCTCTCAAAGGAAGTATGCTCTAGATATTCTAAAAGAGACAGATATGATTGATTGCAAACCTGTGGACAGTCCTATGGATCCAAATTTGAAGTTAATGGCAGGACAGGGTAAAGTTTTCTCCGACCCAGAAAGATATAGAAAAATGGTTGGGGAACTTATTTATTTGACTATTACTAGACCTGATTTGTCTTTTGCAGTTGGTGTTGTCAGCCAATTTATGCAAGCTCCTTGTGTGGATCATTGGAATGCTATCATTCGAATCTTAAGATACATTAAAAAAGCTCCAGGACAAGGTTTATTATATGAAGATAAGGGAAATACCCAAATTTTTGGGTACTGTGATGCTGACTGGGCTAGATCTCCTATGGATAGGCGTTCCACTACAGGCTATTGTGTTTTCTTTGGAGGTAATATCATTTCATGGAAAAGTAAAAAGCAAAATGTTGTTGCCCGATCCTCTGCTGAAGCTGAATATAGGGCAATGGCATCTCTTACTTGTGAACTTGTTTGGGTAAAACAATTCTTGCAAGAATTGAACTTCTGTGAGATTCAATCTATGAAGATGTATTGTGATATTCAAGCTGCTCTTCACATTGCTTCCAACCCAATATTTCATAAGAGGACTAAGCATATTGAAATTGACGGTCACTTTATTCGGGAGAAGTTGTTGACTAATGAAATTTGTACTGAGTTTGTTGGTTCCAATGATCAGTTTGCAGATGCATTAACAAAATCTTTGAGAGGACCTCGAATGGAATTCCTTTGTTCCAAGCTTGGTACATTCAATTTGTATGCTCCAGCTTGAGGGGGAGTGTTGAAGTATTTATTAGTTTAATTGTATCTTGTTGGGCATTTATGAGATTAGTTGTAGACTTAGTTCCTAGAATGCATCTGTTTATCTTCTCTAGGATTAATCATTTCTCTCTATTAATTGTATCTCTGAATCTGTATTTTTATCTCCTATAAATAAGAGAACACAAGAGAATGATTTCAGGCTCTCAAAATCAGTTCTTTATTTTCCTTTTTCTATTTCAAGTTATTTAAAAAAAAAATTGTTTGAACTAGTTATTGTATTGATGCACTTCCAAGGTTTATATGCTTTGCAGGTTTTAGTTGTCTGTTTGTGAGGATTACTTATCCTATGCATTTGTTTTCTATTTCTCCCTCAGTAATATACTAAAAGTAATGGTTAGAAACAGACAGGAGGTAGGTTAAATTCACAACCTTTTCAGGAAACATAGAGCTGTACTTGGAGAAAGCCGTGAGTGTTTGCAGCTTCTTTGATGGCCTTTCTGCACTTACAGAATCAGCATGTGTCCCTAATTTATGCTCAGATCCAGAAGAAAACTCTGATGAACTCTTTCTCTTCAAAAGCAACTCCTCATTCAAATTCACGGTGACCTCTCCACTGGAGATGTCCATACTCTTCATAACTATACCCACTTCCCTGAGTCCAAAAAAGAAGAAAGACAAGATTAATGGTATAGTTTATACCAGGACAGAAACAACAAATAAAAAAAATAAGAGGAGAACCCAAGTTAAGATTAGACTCCAACAACAGAACAAGATACAAGAACAAGTTTAGTGATTAACATGACACTGCAAACCAAGAGCTAGTATAAGAAGAGTCTTCTCTACAGAGCAAAACAATAGATGACCAGAAACAAGATATATATATATATATATATATATATATATATATATATATATATATAGAAGTTCCAATTGATATGACATGCCACCAAAGCTTTGAAACAAACCAAAAAAAATTGACAGATGATTTTGGCATTTTAAATTAAGAATTCTACCCTGCAATATTTGTCAAATTATGGTAGTGTTTGGCCCAGCTTTTTTGGGCTTCTGTTCTCCTTAAAAGGAGAAACTGGCCACAGATTTTGTCTGCAAATCCCTTAAAGAGTTAAGCAGCTTAGTTTTTAGAAAAGAAAAGGGAAAAAATAGTTTTTTAAAAAGGCAAGGTAAAAGGGCTTTTAGAATAAAGCTACAAAGCTTCTTCATTATTATTTGGGGCTCAAAGGGAATGGTTATACAGTGCAATGAAACGCTGTGATGCAAAGCCTACACTAACATCAGCAACTTGCTCCACCTCTTTCTGCTGCTCTACCCAAGGACGATTCCAACAACAACCCCTTGCCTCACCTCATTGCCACCCACTCCATCCACCATGTGGTCCCTTCACTCACCCTATGTTTGATGCATAGGCATCTGGTCATTATTAATATGCTACCACTTTAGTTTCTGAGGGGCTTCAGCCTCATTTCCCTGACATTGTTGACTTGCTTTTCAGTTGGGCCTTGGTGCCTAACCTTTTACAATGAGATAGGCATGATATTTTGGATATCTTCAAGCAATGTCAAATGCACTAGGTTGGTAGCCTCCCCCTGCGAGGCTTCTTCTTCACTTTTATAACTCTTATTTTGCACTTTAATTTTTAAATATCTTTTAAAATAGCCAAACACACCTTAAATGTCTTTTCTGTTAGTTTAGAGCATAACTGAGTGTTTTAGCATGCGTATATTAAAATCTCCCTTATTGCTTGAGAAGACCCATTGTGTTCCAACTGTAATGCCAGACACCTAATAGATCATCCAACAAACACCTACTTCCTCTTAACCAACCACCAGTTAGACAAGAGCTAGATTAATATTACAAAAATGAACATAGAGAAGGAATATACCTATCATGATCAAATTCACACGAGACAGAGAACATTTCACAGAAAAAAGGAGCAGAAGACCTTTCTATAGCATTAAGGGATGCCTGGCCAGAAGAACTACATCCTCCACCACTTAAATTAGATAACAGGTCACAGCTAAGCTGCGGCTCACCAATGTGAACAAAAATAGGTAGTATATGCAGTCTAACTAATAAATTTGACTTGGAACCACCATCTTTAGATATATCCAGATTCAATTCCTTGATCTCAACAGTAGATTTTGGTGTCTGCAATGTTCAATAGAGATTCCCAGTGAACAAACAAGTTATAATAAGATCAAATAGAAGAACAAAAGAAAACAAAAACAAATCAAGTTTAAACTTGAATAGACAGTGTATGAAACTTATTTTATTTATAAATATTATAACCATTACATTTGATGATCTATCTTGAAATATAGTATGTGCTTTGCACATACACCATAGTATATGAAATTAAAGTCAGCATGTGTTTGACCATACAAGCAGAGCAATACAATTTTATGGAGATGAACACCTTCAGAACCAGATCGGTCACACGAACTGACAAATATCTTGCAATATTGCCCACAATCATCCACTTCCCCCTGCCTGAAGCACGGGATTTCCTAGTTTTCTTCTTCCCTGGGGTTTTATCTGATGCCCTCATAACAACTTCCAGGTCACATATTAACACTTGTAGCTTTGGATCCCGAGACATGAAACCCACACCAAGTTTAACCAGGGACTGGCGTAAGCTGAGTTTAATTTCACCAACAGAAACAGATTCAACAGCACCCTGTACATGTTATAAATCAACAGATTATATCACCATACACAACAGGCTCATATCACAACTCAATGGAATTAGAAACACAGGGTGCAACCACATAAAAGAAAACAATAATCAGCTGAACAAAATTGCTAGCAGGTTTCACAAGCTAAGGGAAAGCTTGGAGGGGGAAATTGCTGAAGATGAAACTTACTCGAAAGGTATGTGATGTAACAATTTAATTATTCAATATTTACATCATTTATTACAACCAATTTCGAGCATGGACTACATTTTACTCTCTCTACTCCCTAGAACTGTATTTTAATATCCCTCCAGTCCTCCAATGTCCTTCCAATTTTAAAAAATGAAATAAGGCAGAGAATGAAGAAGGCCGAGACAAACCTTTTTAAACTTCACTACCACATCCCTTAAACATTTCCATCCACCAACACGAAATGCAACAGATGCTCCCAAAATCCGGCTCAAAATCCATGCCAGCAACCCAGAAGCAAATCTGTAATAAAATGCATGAACATGGTGGTTTAAAGTCTCCAAAGAATTATTCGTATAAGAAAAATGCAAAAGTACTGGCAACATAATACTCAATCTTAAAAACACAAAATAGTATGTAACTGCCAATTGCATCTGGGATATAGGGAAAAAAGATGGCAACAGAGCAAAAATCATCAGTGTGATAAAATTTGATTATAAAGGTTTGAGTATTCCTCCACAACATCTCCACAAGGAACATCACCCCTATTGAGTAGTCTTCCCTTGACAGAAGAACTTCAACACCGCCAGACACCACAAAATAGAAACATGATCACGTTTCAATCTCTATAGATCATTATCATATAAGAATGTGAGAGTCTATTGCCACTCCTATTCAGTTAGCTATTATATAATTCATCTAAACTGTTAGTGCTGCTAACAAAGAGGAACAAGAATATTTTAGATCAAAACTAATGCCAATTGACACTAACAAAAACTATAATGGACATGTTTACATTCAAATAAAGCATCATCATATTTTATTTTCTAAATAGGGATTTGAGCTTTTTTACTTCAATTTTATGTATAGTAGCATGCTTTTTTTATGAATGATATAATTTTGGTTGAGGAATCAAGGAAAGCAATTAGCTCTCAACTTAACATTGGAGGATAGACTTTGGAAACAAAGGGTTTATTCGTAAGAATAAGGCAAAATATATTAACTGTTGTCATACCACAGGTTACTAAATAAAAGATTTGGGGCCAATACTACAAAATGATGAAAGAAACTGAAGAGAATGTCATGAAAGGCATTAGAAGTTATTTGTGCAAAGTACCTACCAAACTTAATAGCAAGTTTTATTCTAGTGTTATTCGCCTGGTTGTGGTCAATGGTAGTAAATAATGGGTTTTTAAGGGACAAGGGAAAAAAGGTCAGTGGCAAAAATGAAGATGTTAAAATGGATGTGTGATCATACAAAATGATTGTATATGGGAAAAGATTAGTATGCCAATTGAGGAAAGATGATAGAAAACCAATTAAGGTGGTTCAGACATGTACAAAGAAGACCCCTGAAAGAACCAATGAGAAATATGATTTTTAATCTGATTAAAAGGAGGAGAGGGAGATAGAGAAGGACATTGGAGGAATTTGTCCAAAGAGATCTCGTGGAATAATATGACTAAAACTTTGGTCTTCAAGAGAGTCAAATGGCATTGCGTGATCCATGTAGCTGATCTCACCGAGTGGGATAAGATTTATTGATGTGGTACTCCAATTATGTATAAGGCGACACTTTCTTAAATAGTAAAAATCTAGCTACAGAATCAACCTCTCTGCTTACAAGTTTAAGTTAAAGACATATAATTCTCACTAAAGTCCACAAGAGTGGAATCCTTCAGCACTCCACCTCTCTTTTTCATCAAGTTTTCCAATCTTGCTAAGTTTTTAGGAGTGATTTCCTTGCACGATCAAAAGCACTTTCTCCTAGTGTCTGTACCATATGTTTTTCATATTTCCGACAGTGTTAGGTAACTATTTACTACTACCACTCATCTCTATTTTGGGGAGTTGACTATTCGTAAAGGTTGCAAAGTCTGTCCATCAAACCAGTTCAGAGTTTTTGTCAATACGATTCAAAACTACAAGTCCAAATAAAACTTTAACTTTGGAGGGACTTTGACCTTTAAAAACAAGGTTACATTATTTAGAACATTTTTACTAGTTAGGTTCTGAACAGTAGCGTAAACAAACATGCAAGTGAGAGATCGAGAGGAATTAAACTACCAAAATAGTCAATTCTTGACCCACTTAAGAACTCATTAAGGAGTAGATTTTCCATTACTTCCAAACATCCTAGTTCCAAAAATAATTGTCTTTCATTCCAACAACATGCTCTTTATTGAGCCCAGGGAGATATATTGATAACAAGATATCAAAATTTCAACGTCAAGTCATGTACACCACATTCACCGTGTCGACATAATTGTTCAACAGTTCCAAAGGCAGTATTAACTTCCTCGGCTTGGACAAAAAAAAAACTATGTCCCCTACATTTCTCCAAAACTTTGGTTACCAAATCACTTAAATCCTACATAAGCATCGAAAATGAGTGACGTCCTACTAGAACTAGAGCACTTTCCCCTTTGACTATACACCTAACCAGTTTGTGTTGGCTCCTTACTATACCAACTGTCTTCAGTAAACACTCCGAACAGTAAGATACAACACTTTCAATAGGCAAACAAGCCTTCTAAGTCATCAGCAACTATTTAAAATGTCAGACAAGTAGTTAAAAACACGTTTTCTCTATTCCAACTGATCTATCAGAAATTCAACTAATGAAACTCAAATAGCCAAGTGCGCTAAATTTCAGAAAAAAGTAGAAAAATATTTGAGAACTTACATGAAGACGAGCCACAATGTAATCGAGAGTAGCAAGAATCCGAAGAGGAAATTGACAGGAGAAGCCGCCATTTTGGAAGGGGGAAACGAATGGTTGGCGGAAATTGGCTGAATTTCAATCAAACTCTCGGAATTCCGCGAGCAGAAACACGAATGCGATTCTGTCGCGAGAGTCCATCGCAGAGAACGCGAAAAAGAAGCAGGGAGAAAGGGAAGCTCAAGATGACGAACCCTAGACGAAGAAAAAGTGATGAAGGGTTTGGTGGTTGAGAACGTCGTGATCGGAAGCGTTGCTGAGTGATGTTATATAATTGATTGCTCAGATCCGATCCGATCCGATCCGTGAGATGCTCGGTGATGCAAGGCGAGTTGAGTTGGGTTAGTGAGAGAGAAAGTGGGGGGAGTAATCAGGTGCGACGCGGGTGCAGGAGAGGGTACGTGGGGAAACGTGCGGCGAGAGTCACTGTTTTTGCGCAACCATTTATGACAGCGAAACTATTGCGTGGCTCCGCAGTAAATCCAAAGTCGATTTTTTTCAACTATCCATTCGCGGCCATGGCGGTTACTCACTGGGAGGCTACGCTTGGTTCATTGCCCCGCGCACTTTGATCAGGATCTCTACTGTAGTTTAGTGGTTCAAGGTATCTTTATGTCACTTCGGACTTGCTGCTACTTAGTACTAGTATGTCAGTACTTTATTTTTTATCTTGTTCTTTCCACTAATTATTAAGATTAAATTATATTAAAAATAAATATTTCATTTTTGCTGTGATTGAATGGAAAAGAAATTGATTATTATTTATTATTAAAAAAAAATCAATTGCCGAAAAAACATCCTTGTTAAATCTACTTAGATTAATGTAAACATGTTGGAATTTGAGAATAAACTCGATGAGTTTTCAGGATGTCTTTGGGTCATGCTTTAAATTATATTCGACCGAAATTTGTATTTCGTTTTCTAAATTATATTTCTTTCATAGTTATATATTAATGATGAAAATATTTAAAAAATAATATTATCTTTATAATATTATTTTTTAAAGAATATATAGTAAAATATGTGTTTTATTTTAATATGAAATTTATGAATAATGTTAATGTATTTTATGTTAAAATTCGGAATGACTTAGTCTAATCTATATTTGTTGAGTTAATAATGTTTTATTTAAGCAAATGACCCAAGGGATGACAAAACGGGCTAGCCGTCCGTTTTGGCTCGCCTTGCTTTTGTTCGTCAAAAGCGTGCATGGCGGCTTGGCCCGATATAGTCATGACGAGCTGTAGACTTTGGCCGATCCCGCCAAGGGTGGGTTGATGAGTGTGAGTGCTAGCCTACTATAATTTAGAAAAAAATAATTTATTTTTTAAAATAAATTTTTTTAATAAATTTAATAATAAGATTATTATTTGTTTGTCAATAATTTTATATATATATATATATATATATATATTATTTCAATTTAATAATATAAATCAATATATTATTTTAAGAAATTATAATTTAGAACAATAATAAAATTTACATAATAATAAATAATAACAAATATATATATATATATAACGTTAAAATTTATAAAATTTATATTTTTTATATTGAAAAATTCAAATACCTATATCTTTTTTATTTGATAAAAATTCACATTATTCTTGGTTGAGTAATTTTTACACCTTTAATTCAAGTCATAAGAATAAAAATAATCGAGTGTTTAATATGAACAAGGAGAACATGAGAGAAGGTTGTGTTTCGATAAGGAAAATATTTTATGTGAGAGTGAAACTTTTTTAATTCTCTTTTTAAAATTTTTAACTTTATATATTATCTTTATAATTAATTTTTATTACAATAAAAATTATTTTTTTATTAATTAGGTGGGTCGTGGGTTGGCCTGCCCGTCCACGAGGTTGGTTTGGCGGGTGGGCCAAAGCGGGCTAGTGAGTGAAAACACCAACTCGCCCAGCCATATTATGGCGGGCTGACCCATCGAGCTTGACCCGTTTTGTCATCCCTAAATGACCTGCAAAATTTCAAACGAGAAAAAGGAGAAGACAATTCACCGTGAAAGAGGATAAAATAAGAATGAAAATCAAGGCCAATATCTAAATGAAGGATGATTCAAGAAAAAAAAATTATATATATATTTTTTTTTATATTTGCACTTTCCTTTTCAAGACACTTTACTTTTGAGGGTTTTTTTCAAAAAAATATCTCATATATATCTTCTAAAAAACTTTTTTTTTTAAATAAGCCAATTGGTTTATGATCCATGGAATCCATCTCCTTCTTTATTTTAACTACCCTTTTCTTGATGTGTTTTCACATATCTATAATTCTTTATTACTAAATAAATATTAACAAAACTTCTTATTCACAAAACATATATTCATATATTGAATGGTTATAACACACTCCTCACTTGAAACGGTTGAATTATGTATGTTATTCATAATAAATTACATATGACATTAGAGTCCCTCAATTAGCAATATAAGAGTTTTTTGTTTCATTATTGCTAAAGAATAAATAAAAACTACTTATGTATAAAAAATGAAAACATATAAAAAAAACAAAATTATACAAATAAATTCATGACTTTTTTAAATTGTCAAGTGTGTGTTTCTTGTAATCTAAAGAAGCAATATGATAAAAACTAACTCATCTCCTTTTATCCGTAAAAGATAATAAAATTGAACTGGAAAACAACCAAGGAAAATCTCTGTTTCATAATAAATCCTGGACAAACATTTTTACAAAGGTTTTATATTTTATATTTCTGAATTTATTTTAAAAAAATTGAAATAAATTTAAAATTATTCCAAAAAAATTATTCCCTAATGATGATTTTTTTAAAGAGTTTTTCACAATGAATAGTTAAAAATTATTCTCAAATTATATATTTTAAAAATCTGTATTCCAATATATATTTTAAAAAATATAATTCCAAAATTTTAAATAAATTCTAAATCATATTTTATAGAAAATACTTATTGAAGTGCACAAAACAGTGAGCCCTAATAATGGGCCATCATGCCCCATTCTAATTTTCGCAGATCCCTTCCTCCTCCGCCTCAGTTTCACACTCTCAACCCCTTCGACAGTCAAGCCGCGACACACGTCTCTGAGGTTGGTTGTTGCTTCTTCTTCTTCCTCATTCCCTCTGCGCCTTTTTTTTCCTTAATCATTTAATTTCTTTTGCAATGAAACTTTATATCGGTTCTAGCTATTTAACTAACCACTCGTGTTCCTGCAAAACAACAAGGTTCAGGGTTGAAGACTATTGAAAATCGCCATGGAAAACAGTGTGAAGCATTTAGACAACGACGATAGCAGGCAAGACTAAGTTTGTTTAATTAATCCTCTTCTTTGAACACGAATCAATTGGTGTTGCTTCAAATTTTCACATACACAAACAATAAATTGGAGCCCTTTTATTAGGTCACCTAACTCAAAATTTTGTCATTTTTGCAGAGAACCGCCTCAGCTTGCGGAGTTGTTGAAAGAAATGAGGGAAGGTCTTGACAACTTAAGGCGTAAAGTTCAATCTTTAACTGCCAAAGTGAGTTGCCCTTTTTCCAATTGAAGTCATGTTCTTTACGCATTCCGTAAACTCACGCATTCTGATATTGAAATTATTTAAAATTCATAATGTTACAACGTTAGTTTCGACATGAAGTTTGGTTATGTTGGTCTTTCTGGAATCCTATTAAATTTTCTGTTATAAGTAATATGATTGATGATATATACCTATCTTAATAATGATGAGTAATTTGATTATTATTGCGTCTCTCGATTTTTTTTGTACCAGGTGAAAGAGGGTCAATATCCTACAGCAGATGGATTTAGCTACCTTGAAGCTAAGAATTTGCTGCTTTTGAACTATTGTCAGTCCCTTGTTTATTATTTGTTGCGGAAGGCTAAAGCGTTAACGATAGAAGATCATCCCGTCGTTCGAAGTGTTGTAGAGATAAGATTGTTTTTGGAAAAGGTCTGGTTTTATCCTTCTGTGTGTTGATCTTTAAGGGTTCCATGTGTATATTTACATTGTATTATGTCTGCTAGACATTTAACTCCCTGGTTTCCACTGCAGATTCGGCCAATTGATAAAAAACAACAATACCAAATCCAGAAACTAGTGCAGGCTAGTGAAAATGCAACCAAAAGTGATGTTCAAAGTAAGGAGACAGCTGCGTCCACTAAGAGTGAGGATGCATCAAAGTATCGTCCCAATCCCGACATGCTTGTTAGCAAATTAGACTTAACCTCGCAGGTCAGTGAGTGTATGTGATAATATAAATAGGATCATATTTGGTGTACAGTAGGTTGGTAATTTCTTGCAAATGATATTTTCCTTTTGTTTATCTAACTGGATTATTGTATATGATGTAGGATGGGCATGATACATATCAACCTGTGAAGTTTGCCCCTACTTCTATGGATCTAGAAAAACCTTCTAAGCATGAACGAAATGCCTTGCGAAGAGAAAAAGAAATTCTGAAACAAGCTAAGCAGAGTGATTATATCAGGACATTGATGAATGATATGGAGGAAAGACCTGAAGAGGTAAAGTTATTTTTAGTACTGATTCTTTATGCCTTATACAGCATTCTTGGATTTCAGTTAACCCCCTTTCAAAAGTACTTTCAGACTCAAATATACAAAGAAATCCTTATCCAGAAGTACTTTTAACACCTTTAAGTTTTTTTTGAACTGTTATCCAACCATGCATTTGGATGATTTTATCTAATTATTTGTTTTGGCTGCTCACTACTGTACCCAGGTAAGAGATTTTGAAGGAACTAGCAGAGAAGTTGATAGATTTGTTGCCAAGATGGAGAAACGTGCTCAGCAAGAGGAGGAGCTGTTTACTCGTGTTCCTCTTTCAAAACAGGAGAGGAAGCGAGAAAAGTACTTGAAGAAATCAAGAAATGGGTATGGGAAGTGTTTGGAATGTTTCCTGATATTTCTCAATTAAGTTAAAAAGCATTAAATGTGTGATTACATTTTTGTTTAAATACTTTTTCTTCTCTGAGCGTTTGTGTTTATTCTATTTCAGGTTGCAAGGTCTAACCGAAAGTTTTTATGATGAAATCAAAACATTACCCTTTGAAGATAATACCGGAGAACAAGTAATGGGATCTAGTAATGGTAGAAGCAGAAACAGTAGACTAAATAAGCGAAAGGCATGACATTTTATACTTTGAAATTATTATGTGGAAATTATAAACTATTTTTTTGAACTTCATATGATGGATGTGGTTTATGTAGTTTTGCATCTGCGTTGCATATGACTGTCCTAATTATTTGATGATTGCCTTCCACCACATGCTTCTAAGTCCATTATGTGTAATAAAAAAATTGATTTAAATAAACAAATGTCTTATATCTTGTGTTCTACGATTTAATATTTTATAATTCAAATTTGTAGAATATATTATTCTGAGATGATCCCATGTTGTCTAGCCTTATAGGTGGTACTCATTAGAGTTTTAGATTATCTTAGTCAACAAAGTTTTATTTGGATCCTTATTTGTAAATTCAAGGCCCGCTATATTGTTTGCCTCTATGGAGTAAACGTGTAGAGTTGGTTATTTATCTAATAACATTTTGTAATTTGGGAAACCAATTTCTGCTCACTGGGAGTTACTATATGTACAGTTGTTTGCTGATTGTTCTGATCAATGTCCTATACAAAGTAATAAAAATGATACTATGATACCTGCATAATATGAAGTAAGATAGTTAAGTGCCCCTTGAAATGTACAGTTTTTATATATTTGAAAGTTTTAATCTATCCTTCAATAGATACAAACTTTCCGTTACCTTATGTTTGTGTGACAATTTTAATTTCATATAGAAGGAAAAGAGATATTGCCTACAGCTGTCTTTTCCATTTTTAGTGTATGCATTATGCAATTGACGGTGTTGAATTGTGCTGTTATTTGAACTAACAATTTGGCTTCTTTGCAGAGGAAACATTGAAGGAGGAAATTTTGGTTTTTGACCTAAAGGGCTGAACTGTAAACTGACCACCACCGCACGCTATTGGAGGAAGTAATATTAGATTTTCAATGCAAAGGAAATGTAGAGGCTAGTGTTGTGTATTGGTGAATTCCTCCGTGTTTGTAGATTTTATTTTATTATTTTATTGTCATCCAATGCTCTGGTGCCCAATGGGGAACGTGGATTGGACATTTTGGAAGAGTTAAAAGTGTTTTTTTTTTTTTTTTTTGGCTATTACAATAGATGCACACCCAATTCTGTGATTCACTTGGTTTATTTTAGTTCACCTTTATACATTCTGGTGGAATACATGCACAGCATATTTAACTAAACATTTTCCAAGTCAAGCGTATATTTTTGTTATCAATGTTTATTTCACGGCTGGAGATGTAGGGCATCGGTTGGTTCTTTTGTACGTGACCCAATGTATTCTGGTATCGGTTGTTCTTGATTCGTGGATAAGATAATATAAAATAAAAACGGGAAAAAAACATTAATTATATTCAATGTTTAGTGTGTATTATATAATTAAGATCGGATAACATGATAATTCTAACAGATGATGATGCTAAGACAAGATAAAAAGGAGAAAAAATATTAATTATATTCAATTTTAGTGTGTATTATGATTAAGATAGATAACATGATAATACTAACATGATAGATAATTAGGCATGGCAATGGGGTGTTTTTGTCTTCCCTATTCCCAATTATTTTATACCTTCAACACATAAAGAGATTTATCTGCACAAAATAGAATTAGAGAACTTTTTAGAGTTATTTTTATTGAGTTTTCTTCTCTATTGTATTTTATATCTTTATTAATTTTAGTTTTTCACTAAAACAATTATAATATCAAACTCAATTTAGTGAAAGTGATTTTTATTGGAATTAGAAATTAAATCTATGTCTTTGTTGATTGGGATTTCAGATTTTCTTTTTTCTGATTTGTTTTCATTCTATATTACTTTTAAAAATGTATATTTATAATAAATTAATTTTAACATTTGTTTATATATTTTTTATGTAAAAATAAATATTTATAATTTTATAATTATTAATTAAGTATATAATTTAATTTATTATATTTATATCAAAATATGTCTATAAAACAAATGTTTAATCATTTTTTTCTTTATATGGATATATAATACTTATTATTATTATAATAATAATAATATTATTATTATTGTTGAATATAGAAGAAATAGAGTTTGGGATTAATCTCCTTGTGTATAAATCACACATAGGGTAGTCTATTTATAGTAGAGAGATACAACTAAAAGAGTAACTGAAAGTAACAGAATAAACAGAAGATATTGTTAGATATTATGGTTAATATCTAACAATATCTTAACAATATTAAATAATATCTAAACAATATCTAACACTCCCCCTCAAGCTGGAGCATACAAATCGTATGTGCCAAGCTTGTTACAAATATAATCAATTCTAGGACCCAGTAAAGATTTAGTAAAAATATCTGCTAACTGATCACTTGAGTTAACAAACTCGGTCTTGATGTCTCCAGACATAATCTTTTCTCGAATGAAATGACGATCAATCTCAATGTGTTTGGTCCTCTCATGAAAGACAGGATTAGAACTAATATGAAGAAGCGACTGATTGTCACACACAAGTGACATTTGAGTGACATCTCCAAATTGTAACTCTCTAAGCAATTGCTTGAGCCAAACAAGTTCACAAGCAGCTGAGGCCATAGCTCTATATTCCGCTTCTGCACTAGATCTTGCCACAACACTTTGTTTCTTACTTTTCCATGAGACCAAGTTACCACCAATGGAGACACAATATCCGGATGTAGATCTTCTATCCGAAGGAGATCCTGCCCAATCGAGCATCTCGAGTAGCAAACAACTCTTGTATGGTTATTAGAATCATATAACAATCCTTTTCCAGGAGATCCTTTAATATACTTTAAGATACGAATGATCGCATTCCAATGATCTTCACATGGGGAATTAAGAAATTGGCTTACCACACCGATTGCAAAGGAAATGTCGGGACGAGTAATCGTAAGATAATTCAATTTTCCAACCAATCTTCTATACTTGCTCGAGGATCAGATATAGGCTCCCACGATTTGGTAGAAGTTTAGTATTGGGATCCATGGGTGTATCAACGGACTTTGAACTCATCAACCCAGTTTCCTCCAAAATATCTATGGCATACTTCCTCCGAGATATAACAATATCATCATTGGATCGTGCCACCTCAATACCCAAGAAATATCTAAGTTTGCCAAGATCTTTGGTTCGAAAATGGTGACAGAGATGTTGTTTCAAGCTGAGAGATGCCATGACTGTCACTACCTGTAAGAACGATGTCATCAACATATACTATCAAGTAAACACATCCAGCACTCGAGTGTCGATAAAAGACAGAATGATCTGCTTCACACCGAGTCATACCAAATTGTCGAACAACATTGCTAAACTTTCCAAACCAAGCCCTAGGAGACTGTTTTAGGCCATATAGGAATTTGCGAAGACGACATATCATCCCGAGAAGACTCCCCTGAGCAACAAACCCAGGAGGTTGCTCCATATAGATTTCTTCTTGCAAATCACCATTGAGGAAAGCATTTTTAACATCTAGTTGATAAAGAGGCCATTGTTGAAGAGCGGCCATGGCGATAAATAAACGAACGAAGTCATCTTTGCCACGGGGAAAAGGTATCTCCATAATCCAACCCAAAAATTTGAGTATAACCTTTGGCCACAAGACGAGCTTTGAGGCGATCAATAGTACCATCGAGTCCAACTTTGATAGCAAACACCCACCTGCAACCAACAACAGATTTCCCGAGACGGTAACGAGACCAATTCCCAAGTTCCACTATTATGAAGAGCACTTAATTCATCTAACATGGCCTGACGCCAACCAGGATGGGCTAAAGCTTCATGGACGAGTTTTGGAATGGTCACGAGACGAAAGAGAGGAAAGACATGTATAAAAAGGTAATGACAGTCGATGATAACTCAAACCAATATAATGGGGAGAGGGATTACGTGTAGAACGGATACCTTTTCGGAGGGCAATGGGAAGGTCAGACTCAGGTGTCACATCCGGAGGAGACAGAGTAGTTGGCACTTGAGTGGAGTCACATGGTGGTGGTTGTGATTGGTTTGGGCAACTATAAATCTGAAGAGGCAGTGAAGAAGAAGCTGACTGCGGAGCAGAAACTAATGGTGAATAAGACACAGTTAGAGGGTCACAAACAACAGGAACATTAAATGTACTAGGAGTGTTGACAAGATTGGATGGAGACAGAGGTGAAGATTGACTTTTAAAATAAAAAGAGAACTCATCAAAGGTGACATCTGCAGACACAAAATAACGGTTAAGAGAAGGAGAAAAACATTTGTATCCTTTTTGTGATCGTGTAAACCCTAAGAAAACACATTTATGTGATCTAGGAGAAAGTTTGTCAAGACCAGAACTGAAATTATGAACAAAACATGTAGACCCGAAAACTCTTAGAGGTAAGGGATGAAGTGGTTCATGAGGAAATAAAATAGAATGAGGTATTTTATTATCTAAAACCGAAGATGACATGCGATTAACGAGATAACATGCAGTAAGAAGAGCATCACCCCAAAAATGCTGAGGAACCTCTCCATGAATTAAAAGAGTGCGAGTTGTTTCAATAAGATGTCTATTTTTACGTTCAGCTACACCATTTTGTTGAGGTGTATAAGCACAAGAAGTTTGATGCAAAATACCATGAGAAGCCAAAAATTGTTTAAAAGAATGAGAAAGATATTCACGACCATTATCACTGCGCAAAACTCTAATAGAAACACCGAACTGAGTTTGTATTTCATTAAAAAAAGATTGAAAGATATCAAATACTTCAGAACGATTTTTCATTAAAAATAACCAAGTACATCTGGAATAATCATCAATGAAAGTAACAAAGTATTGAAAACCTAAAGTAGACTTAACGCGGCTAGGTCCCCAAATGTCGAGTGAACCACGGCAAAGGGGACGAAGCACCACGTGTGACACTACGAGGAAAGGAAGTACGACTATGCTTACCTAATTGACACGACTCACATGCCAAACTAGACAACTTAGATAAGGCGAGGACAAGCTGCCGTAACTTGGCAAGACTTGGATGACCTAAGCTGAGCATGGAGAAGAGAGGGAGACTCTATAACTGCACCAACATGTGTAAAGGGACGAAGATGATAAAGACCATGAGACTCACATCCTGTGCCAATCACCTGTTTCGAACTACGATCCTGTAAACACACAGAATTGTTGGTAAAAGAAACAACACAATCAAGAGAACGAGTTAGACGATCGATGGATAACAAGTTAAAAGGAGACCCGGGGACATAAAGAACATTATCAATTGTTAAAGAAGGGAAAAGTTTAACAGTTCCAACACCATGAGATGATACTCTAGAGCCATCGACCGATGTAACGAAGGTAAAGGATTAGGAGAGGATAAAGAGGAGAACAAAGATTTGTTACCGGTAATATGATCAGTGGCTCCTGAATCAAAAACCCAAGGACCGGAAGAAGATTGGGTCGGACCAGCAAAATATGTACTGTGTGTGCGACGGACACGGTGGAACTAGAAGACTGTTGATCCTTATACCATTTGAGAAATTTGTTGAACATAGCAGGTGTGTCCGATGAAATAGAAGAAGGAGGATCCTTAGCGGATAAAGGTGGAGAAAGATCGGTCCGAACAACTGCAGCGGATCGAGGAGGACGACCATGTAATGCATAACACTTGTCAATCTTGTGACCTAGCTTACCACAATGTTCACACTCATGTAATGCATAACATCGATCAATCTTGTGACCTAGCTTGCCACAATGTTCACACTTAGGACGCCCTTTTTCCCTGTTTACGAGGGCGAGTTCGGTCATCACGGTGAGATACCAATGCGGAAGAATCATTAACGAAGCAGGTGTGTCGGGGTTGGGTTTCTGCTGGTAAACGCAAAAGAGTGGAGCAGGTCGATGTCAAGGTGGGGACAACCGGAGAACCCAAAATCGATCACGAATATGTGAATATTGATCGGCAAGTCCGTGTAATGCCCCTAGCATGAAGAACTTTGATCGTTGTGCTATCTCGGTGGCGGGGGTCGGGGAAGGAGGCAATAACTCATTGAACTCATGAAAAAGAGCATGAATTTTGCCCATATAATCGAGTCATAGAATCTTGATGTTTAGAGGCAATAACATCTACAAATTTAGAACGAGACATCATAGAGACGTTGAGTATCATTGGTGTATAATAACTTGGCATGTTCCCAGATTTTGGCACATGTTTCGTAGGAACGAAAAATTTGTTTTAACGAAGGATCAAGAGTACCCTTGAGAACCACACATAATTGAGCATCAATGGTGTCCCAACGATCTTCCTCACCAGGAGTGAGAGTAGGTGCTTTCGGGGCAAGATGATCAAGATAATTCGACTCTTAAGCCATAATCTGACGTCGATGACCATGTGGCATAATTAGGGCCAGTTAACTTGTCAATGGATAAGTGCACATTAACATAGTTAGTGTAGATGGAAGGATCGAGACGCAGATACTAACGAATTGGAAGTACTAAAAGGAGTAGAAGAAGTCATAAAGGGTGGAGGTGATAGTGACGACGGCGTGAACTAGTACACCAGGTAAGTTCCCAGGAAAGAGAGGTGGGTCACTAATGGACACGCTTAAATACCAAGTTTTTCCTTGTCGAACTTTCCTAGACATGCACTTTCACACTACCAAATAAACGACAGCGATAGCGGTGGTTGCGGCGTGCGCGATGGTGGCGGCTTCAATAGTAATCTAAGGCAAAAAAATTTCAAAATAACCTTAAGCTCGATACCATGTTGAATATAGAAGAAATAGAGTTTGGGATTAATCTCCCTTGTGTATAAATCACACATAGGGTAGTCTATTTATAGTAGAGAGATACAACTAAAAGAGTAACTGAAAGTAACGAATAAACAGAAGATATTGTTAGATATTATGGTTAATATCTAACAATATCTTAACAATATTAAATAATATCTAAACAATATCTAACAATTATTACTATTATATATTATAATATTATATTCAAATATTTGATTATATATATAAATTAATTATCTTTCAAGTTGCTATTTTAAAATATTTATGAAAAAAATATTTAATAAGAAATTTTTTATTTAATTAGTTCAAAGAAATAAAAGTTTTAATTATCAATTTTTATAATACTTCAAAATATAATTATTTTATTAAGATAAAATCTGATATAAAAAATATGAATAATAAAGTTCAAAAATATAACATAATAAAATCTAAAATAATATTAATTTCTATTAAATTAATGTTGAATATTTAGAAAAGGATAAACAAAAATAAAATTTAATTTTGTGTTTGTTAATTTGGTTGAAGAAATTAGAAAAACTAAATTGATTGAAGAGATTAAAGAAATGTAAAAAAGTCGAAGATAAGATAAAAAGAATAATGTAATAAACTAATCAATCTAAGAAATTGAAAAAAATAAAAAAAAAATAAACTAAAAAATGAGTAGAAGAAAAGTAAAAAAGTTTAATATAGAAAATTATATTATATAATATAACAAAGAAAAGGAAATGTTTTAAAAATATTAAAATTTTAGGATTTAAATTGAAATATAAAAATCGAGATAGAGACTAAATCAGAGTTAGGTTAAGGTGGGAATTATATTACTCATTTTTACTCTTAACTTTTTGAAACGAAAAAAATCTGAACTCGTGTCAGTCTCCTTCAATCAACTAGATTTTTTTTCATCAAACTCAAAAACTCTTAATACTAATGATTTAATGATAGTTATTATTATGAAGAGAAAATGATAATAGTGACAATAATAATAGTGTAAAATTAATGATGAAATTATATTAGAAAAACAAGTAGAATTTCTCTAGTGATAGAGAACTAAACACTAACTAACTTAATAAAACCTCTTATAGTTAAACTTACTCTTTTTCTTCCTAAAACTATGCCAAAAAACCCTTTCATAAAAAATCGAAAATCTCCTAAATACTCTTGTATTCCTAAAAATGCTCAAATTTATCAAAAATAATAAAAATAATGGAGATTTGTAGAACCATTGTTGTGAAGAATTTGATTATCATAATAAAAAAGTATATATCAAATGTTGACAACGACGAAGTGATGAAATTAACAGCAAGTAGAGGTAAAAGTGATGCAATTTCAAAGAAAATAGTAATAAGGTTGATGATAATAATAATTATAGTGAGGATAATTACACGTAAGAATAAGGAGATTGATTATCCACTTTTCTCGTAGGATAAACAAAAATACACTAAGACGATAGGATAGGATAGGATAGGATTATAAAATTGTCTCCTATCATCTCATCAAATAATTTATTACAACAAAATAAAATATCTTATCCTATTATATCCTTATCAGTGAACAAACCCTGAAATTTTTGTATTGTATATAACATGGTAGATAACGAAATTTTTACATGGAATGCATAAATGGTTTATAAAATCTGTCCAAGTTATAAATTCAAAGGTAGTTTTTTCATTTTTTCAAAGGTAATAAAGGGGTTTCGATCATGTTTGCTGTGATTCTAGAGGAAAACATAAAAAAACTTATGGGCCAACTAATCTGCAAATCACTTTGAAGAAGAAAAAAAAAAGAAACTAAATTTAACTTCTAGATAAACTAAAATTAATTTATCCAAAATTAAAAACAATAAATTTAAAAATTATATGAGAGAACATCTACAAATTAAAAATTAGTTTATGAAGAAGTTAGTTTCAATTCTTTTTCTTATGTTTATGTTACCCTTAGAAAGAACTTCCGGATAAATTCTTCCAATTGACTCAACTGCAAACATCTTGTTAAAAAGCGACCTTAAAAGATCACTAAAATTTGTCTGTTATGTATTAATGTACATGAAAATATAATAGAACAATCTTAAATCACAATGATCCAGTGGAAGAATGAGAAATTCAGCCATCAGAAAGCATGATCGCAATGATAGCACGTATAATTCAGACATGATCGGAGAAAATACATTTCACCGTGACCAGAAGTGCCTCGAGGCTGACATTCTTTTGGGTTGGGTGTCTACCTGATAGTTTCTCCTCAGAACTGGAACTGTTTCAGTCTACTTCAGAGCTGTTCCTCTCGGGTCGGGTCATGTTGTACAGTAAAAGACCACATAGAAGAATTGCACAGCCAAGCAAAAAGAAAGGGCTCAAGCTTGTTCCCTCGGGAAGATATGGTAATGGAAGGGAAAGAATATAAACAGAAATTGGCACTGCAAAAATCGTAAGCACACGTGAGCTGCGAAGTTATTAAGAAAACCTGATGTACAAAAGACTCCGCAGTTTTCGCTGGAATGCAAACAAAAGCATTTTAATTGAGATGCAATGATAACGAGTACCTGACAACATTACCAAAAGAGAAGCTACAACTGCAGAAGAAGTTTTTACTGCATTAAGCAGGGATATGTTGAATGCCAAATTGGTAATTATGTAAAGTAGTGGAAGTAGGGGAGCGCCTTCACAATCTGAGACATGGCAATTGAAGAGGAATATGTATATATTAAAACACGCTCACAAAAATAATTAAAACCAAGGTTCAGAATCTTCTAAGGGTACGAGAAAAAAACGATATAGAAATTTATTGATTTCTTGCGATTATGAGAATTTTAATTGCTTTGCTCAAAAAGGTTAAAAAGAGTAAAAATTAGAAATTTATTTTTCACTTTCACTATTAATTTTCTTTTTTTAATGTAATGATCTAAAATAATAACCCATCTTAATTATTATATTACACAAAAATAAATGATAAGGATGAAAAAAGAAAAAAGAAATATATATATATATATATATATATATATATATATATAAGGACTAAAAGCATTTATAAACCTAGTACATAAAGGTAGGGTATGGAATTATGACATGAACCTTGTGATAACCACAAGATCTAACCATTGAGCTAAGAAGGCCGAAGGCCATATAAACCCACTTCAAATTCCATACTTACGATTCTGATACCTTACAATTAGGTGAAAATGTTCCATCATGATCTTTAGCCCAAGCACCCCCTGCAATACTCGTTTGCAATTGACAGAAATGGGGGAAGGCAGATACCAATTGATGCAAACCGTGAACCATAGTAATAAAATTTGCCATTGTGGTTTGAAAGTTTAAGGTCATAAACTCCAATGCGGGACTTGCGCCCCATAACTTATAATTGGATTGTACACAACTACATATAAATAGGAGAGCACCCAGGAAAATAATCATACACATAGTACCTAATATTGATAGTGTTTTAACAGCAAAAGGTGTAAAAGGAAACGCAGACAAGAATTAGAAAGCCAAGTGAGGAGATATGTGCGTTGCAATCATGGTTATCAAACTCTCGAGTCAACTCGTGAGTAGATTCGTTTTAGAGTAGATTCAGAGTCAAACTCGGTAAATTCGGTGGACTTTGAGTAAAGTTGCTACTTAGAGGCAAGTTACCGAATTTAAAGAAAAAGAAAAACTTTGATCTTCTTCGACTCTTCTCATTTCTTCTCACAAGTTCAGATTTCACTCTTTCTCACTGTTTGTCGCTGCTTATCGTCGTCAGTGGTTGTTGTCGTGTGCTTATCCTTGGTCGCGGAGTGGTCACGCGATGCTCACTTAGGTCACACACGTTCACTTGGGTCGTACAATGGTTGCACAATGTTCACCTGGATCGCACGGTGGTCGTGCTCCTTGTAGTTGCTGCCGTTGCTTACCGCCCTCTAGGTTAGATTGAGAATTTGAGGGATTTGAAATTTTAGGGTTTTCGAATAGATGAAGAGATTTTAGACATTTAGGATTTTTTTTTTAATTTTGATCATACTATTGTACAAATTCAAATAATTTTTTTTATTATTTTAATAATGAGGAATTAATATTATTATATTTATTATTAAATTGATATTTTTTATATGAAGTAAACTCTTACGAGTTTACGAGTCGAGTTTATCGACCTCTCACGAGTCTACGTAAACTTTCTCGAGTCTGATAACCTTGGTTGCAACTAATTTTTTATAACTTACTTGGTTTACCAGCTCCAAGGTTCAGAAAGCAACCAGCACCGCTCTTAAAATATGAAGGAAGTTCAGCAAATGGTATGCCCCTCAATTTTGAAAGTAAAGGTAGAGACAGGAATACGAAAAGAGCCTGCAACAAATATCACGTAAACCATAAATGTATCTTTCAACAATTAATCAATAAACATAAACAAGATAATATTTGGAAGTTAGGCCAATATTGTGCTACCATTAGAAAATTTGCCTCGCCAATATTTGAGTAAACAACTTAATTAAGGACCTAATAAGAATTTATTTGGTAAACATTTAGGTTTAAGTTGTCCTTACAATTGAAGAAGAAATAGGATTAAGCTGTTTCCATGAGCTATTCTAGAAAGCTTGATGTCATCATAAGTTGAAAACGAACATATCATTAGAGTTATTTTCACAATTCTCCCAAACATCTATACAGATGCTTATTTTATAAGATATATAACCAATTAAGTTTCAAATTAGCTCTTCCACCCTAAACTGAGGGGGGGGCTCTTATATGAAAACATTTTCAGAAGAAAAACACACTACCAAGTAACGAAAGTTGACAGTATCCACCCTTTATAGAGGTGTGCATAAACTAATCCAAAAGTATACATCATGTAAAAATTGAACTAAAAAAAATCAACTTTTCCATTAGATTGGATATAGTTTCTGTTTTGAACAAAGTTAAAGGGGTGTATATAAGCCAATCCAATCGAATAGTAAAAAATGAACTAAAAGAAAGAAAACCAACTTTTCCATTTGATTGGATCAAGTCTCTATTTTGATTAAAGTTAGAGATGTTCATAAACCAATCCAATTGAATACAAACAGTAAAAATTGAATTAAATAAAAAAGGAAATGAACTTTTTTCAATCAGTTTTGATCGATATTCTGTTCTAATTTAAATTTCATCTTATCCAAACCAAAAAATTGAACTTGTATACGTTTACTTATTACATTGTTAAACTACTATATTTAAAACTTTTAATATCTATTTGACTAATAATATCTATTGTGTATTCTGTGATTTATTTACTGCCTCCCAAAACCACCAAAAGCTTCTTCCAATCCAAACCACTTTAAATAAAGTTAGTTGGTTTGGGTTTGAATTTTAAACTAAACTGATTTGATGATAAAACAAGAATAGTTTGAATTGAATCCCTTAGTCAAAATCTGTATGTCTAATGTACAGAAAAGAGATGAGAAAAAACAGGATGGCAGGCGACCAAGCACAGCCCCAGAAGCAATTATTCAAAATCTATATATTTAATGTACAAAATGGGCATACTTATTCATTCGTGTCTATTTCATCACAGATAGAAGCAATTAGTAACAACTTATGCTCTAATGTAACTCATGGTGCATTCTCAGCATTGGGGAACGGAAGAATGGAGCTTGTGGATTATTTTTATGAAAGATATTCAATGTTTTGGTGGCAAGATCTACAAGTCAGATAGTGAATTCAACTCTCCAGAATTAGTAATATAATCCTTACCTATAAGACAATTGTTATATAAACTTTCCTTCATGTTCTTTTACCATTATGTGGCTTGTTTCGGATGAAGGAAAAAGAATTTTTAACTAACAGGGCTCTGAAAATTCCCGTTAGCTGTAATATAAAATATTAACCAAATACAATTATTTCTACTAACATTTTAGGGCAAGTTCGCATGTAGTACAACCAGTAAAAACATAGCCTAATAATACTCTAATATAATAAGATTCCTAAGACTACAACAAAAGTATTCTAACACTCACTGTTTGCACTTTGTTAGGGGACAAACAAAAGTAATACATTTTGAAATCATATAAAAAGAGAGAAAGCAGGCATATAATTTGAACTAACATAAGTTGCTTCATGGTCATTCTTCAATTACAATATGAAGCAACTAATAAAAAAACATTAATAAGAAAACAAAAGCCAACAAAAATACTGGAAATAAATGCTATTTGCAGATTTTGAAGGTACGCTTAGTTCATTGCAATTTATGTTGCAAGCTGTACCTGAAACCCAGATCCAAAAGAATTGACCACAAAAATGTCCAGTGACTTGTGCTGCATGTGAACATGTAAGGGACTTCAAATCATGACCATGAATGAAATGTCAATGGAATCTGTAGTCCAGCCTCCCCCCAAAAAATGTAAAAGAAGGCATACCTTTAATCGAGTAGCTGAGTCAATGAAAATATACTCCTGCCATATAAGAAAAACATAGATAATAATGTTCTCCAAGAAGATATAACTAAAAGTCAACAGCTGGTTATTGACTAACCTTGATTACAGAAGCCCAAGCTTGAAAGGCACATGAAATTATCATTAATGCTGGCCAAAAGAACTGAACATCAGAGAGCATCTGACCTGTATTTGAGCCACTGCAATGATAGAAAACAAATTATCAGATGGGATCCACTTCATTTAAAGTGAAAAAGGAATTCTCTATCAATCTACAGTCTAGATACTGATTACATGAGATTTGTACCAGAATAACCACGAAAAAGGGTATGACAAATAATACAATTACTGAGCTTCTATAGGCTGTAACAAGCAGCTACAAACCTGGGCTGTTTAACATTTTAGTGGAAGCAAACTTAAAAATTATACGTGCAACAATATTACTCAAAACGTTAGAAACAATGAAGTAAAAATAATTCCAGTTTAAATAAATTGTTTTGGTGGTTAATCAATTCAATGAGTGGTTAACCATTCCTATAATGCTAAGAAAATTTTTATGGCAACTTTCCCAAAATTATGTCCTCCTCAGACTAAAAAAAGAAAAGGTGAATAAAATTACAATATTTTACAATAAAGGAGGTAATGTACATGGTAAAATCCTTTCTGTCCATAGCAATTGTAATCTGATCACAAGTAAATAGTGTAATTTTTAAAAAGTAAACTACTTTAGCTCCACAAAAAATGAGACATCAATTATTCAGAGAAAGTTAACATCAATATAGTCCATGAAAAAGAGAAAGTGACATCAATATGATCCTCAAATTGTAAAGTCCGTTGACAATGTTCTTGTTGTCCATTTACCAAAGGACACTGCTGATGTTACATTTTATGATTGCAGAGCTAAAATGATGCTAAAGTACTTCAGAAGTCCAAACTGATGCCACACATGATGCGGACATAAAAACCCAAAACCATGAGAAAAAAGATGAAGATTTAATTGAAGACTTAATTGGACCAATGACTAGAGGAAAGGCCCAAAAAGCATTACAGCAAAAGATAGCTCTTTCATGGGAGGCCCAACAGTCAAAAGTCCAAAGTACCGAGGAGGCTAAACTGGTTATATGTGTAGTAGGCTTGGAGAGTTAAAATAAAAATATTTTATTCTTTTGATGGAGTTGGGATTTGAACCCAAAACCATTAGTTTATTATTTGATTAGTTTACCATTTAGTGCAAATTAGCTTTGATTGTAATTTTTTTGGTTTTCGTTTCCTTTTATTTAATTGCAAACAAAGTCAAATTCCAAGAAAACCCTAAATTTATGTTTATGATTATTGAATTTAGAAAAAAGGCAACTGCTAGGATTCTTCCTTCGATTTTATCAAGAATTCACCAAATTTTATGACAATCATTCATAGGCTTATGAAACTTTGTTGTGGTACCTTCTTATATTTAGGTTTTCTCTATTTTGTTCTCAATTTCTAATTTTCTATTCTTAATTGATTTCAAACCCTAAATATTTTTGCGTCAATTCTATTTGGAATCTTATCAACATATATATCAGGGAGTACAATGACTCTTCCCTCATATATTTGTTTTCAATTGGAAAGGGTGATTAGAAGTTAAGTCTGTTCTTTTCAAGCCAATATCTTTTGTCAAAGTTCATCACTACACAGATTTGGGAATACTAGATTCACATAGGGATCTGACCTGATTAGTGAACTCAACAAGAGAAACTGAATATGGAGAGTGCTGATAAGGATCATTGAATTTCTCCATATTATAAAGTCAAATTACCTTGCAATAGCCACCACAACACCAACTGCTACAAGTAAGCACCCAACCAATTGATTGATTGTGTACCTTCTTCTCAAGAGAAGCGTAGAAAACATTAGCTGCCAAACCAAAAAAGTCTGCAAAAGAAGAATTCATAAACAGTATTTTGAGAAATTAATATTACACATGATGATGAATTAAAATAACAACAGCAACAATAAAGTTTCAGCAAATGCATAAGTCATGAATAGCGAGCAGTGATGAATGAGAGAAGGCACTAAAGATTTACAGTATTATTATCATTCTCTTCCTTCTTAGTTGGAAGAAAAGGAAAGGCTGACAGCACAAGCCATAAATGAAGCCACACCAACAGAACATGCTGAATAAGTTTTAAAATAACAAGTCCCCTACACTTTAGTGACTGCTACATGATACTATAAATGTGTCAATGAAATGGCTTAAGTATGATGCCATCAGAGTGAGAGACAGAGCAGACTCAATGCATAGACAAGAATGGACTACATTGTCCTTGAAAAAGTAAATTGGATGATGCTGGTCGTATAAAAAAAATTTTAAAAGAAAAAAAAATGAGAATGATGAATTTTAGAACACCTTTGGTGAGTAGTAACAAGCAACAACAGTCTTAGTTTCTATGATGCTACCAGTTGATATAAGTCAAAACTATGATTTCTTGTGATTACCAATAAATTTGCTGGTCTATATTATTGGTAACTGCTATAAGGTCCCTTATTCTGAATATATTACAAAAACCAACATGCTTCTCAGAGACCATTGACTAAACTGAATCAATGCCACAGCCTTTCAATCAAATTCTCAAATCTCAAGTGCTGCTGTATAGCATGATATCTGCATCATGTAAAATGAAAGCATATTTTCTCAAATAAGAACTTCCCAAATGTATGACAAATGGGAATCTGAAAATAAAGCAAACTCCACAGCTATATAAAATAAAGGCGTAAAGACAAACATGTATTTTGTTTTTCACCCTCTCTCATCCTTGATGAAAAGGGCTGCTCAAAACATTTAAGATACCTGATTCAATATGGGTATGACTGGTCCAGGAAGTAAGGCTGCAGAAGGTAATCAATATTCATTTCAGAAACACTAAAAGCAAATACTAAGGGTATGTTTGGAAGAAAAATGAGAATTGAGTTAAAAGGAGTGGAATGGAAAGATTTTGATTTTCATTTATTGTAGCTTTGGGAGAAGGTGGAGAACTCACTTCCAATGTACACATCACACAAATGGCAACTTCTGCTGTTCTTTCCTCTAGAAACATTTCAAACTTCACATTCATTTTTTCATTGCACACTCTTCCAATTATTACTTAATTAACACTATAAAACCTAACATATTAATTATATAGATACATAATTCAGACAACTCCAATAGGATGTGTGATCATGGTACTCCCTCCTTTCCACTATGACTGCTCTTTAAGGTTACTACATGCGTGTTAAGAACAACAATAAATATATCACTTATTAAATTAGCCTCACTTCTCCCATAAATGCATTATTTCGAATAAGAAAGAGTAAGTACATAATTTGAGGACATATCAAAAAGAAAAAGATTAAAACTTCACTGAAATGGGACAACATCAGTCAATTTAGAACCTTTTGTGTGTGGCTAAAACAGCAGTTAAAGGTCTACATGCACACTCAACTAAATAAAAAAATTGGGTTTTATCAAGAGGAGTACTCTAGGGACACTAACCAAAAAACATTTCATAGAAACTATTAAATGCTTTTAATCACTAAAACAAACATTAGAAAGAATTTAATTTTCATGCGCACACTGACAGTATAAAAAGATTTACGCTGTCTTCTACAGTCATGTATAATAAATTTGTTGAGTTTATAATAACTATTTTAAGATGATCGCAGCTTGATTGAAAGTATAAAAGTCTTTATAGCATGAAAATTAAACACGGTTACAAACTAAAACACAATAAATGACAAAACACGAACAAGGTCTGTACCTCCAGCAGACATTCCGGCAATCAGTCCCAGAGCTTCTAGAAACCCAATGGCGACAAAGCGCAATTTCGGAATTGCCAGCATCTCATCGGTTACAATTCTCGCCCGATACCGAATATACAAGATGGAGAAATATATAACAACGTACCTACGTTATACAACCAAAATTATTCATCGCACTAAAAATTCCCCAAACAGAGACAAACAAATCTGCAGGAGTGAAAACAGCAAACAAATGCAATTACAAGCAACAAAAAAGAGGTTTACCCAAAAGTTATGAACTGAGCGAGAAAAAAGGGGTAATCTTTCATGGGAACAAGGGCCAATTTGTAAAGCACGCGATTCGCAACCGCTGTTGTAACCGTGACAGCGGAGCTCAGTAAGATGAGGTTAGTGCTACTTCCCGATGAAGAGGTTGAGTTTGAGGCACGGATTCTGAGAGAGGTTGGGTGGTGGTGGACATGGTTGCGGTTGAATCGAGCGTTGCCGAAAAAATGCAACGGTAGCTTCGAAGAGAGCGACATTGAAACGAGAGGTTGCAGCTTCGGATTGCAGAGCGCGAAACGGCAACGGAACGACGACGTTGAACAAAATGCCATAGCGAACGACATTGCTCTTAGTTTCAACCAAATTGGATAATTTCTGCCAAGTAAAACATTGTTGCTAATATTTTTGTATGAATTTTAAGAAACTTTTCATTAATAATATATTTATTTAAGTTAAAATAATAAAAAGTGGAGTTCGTCAAAATAATGAGGTGCTAACATTAATATTCAATAACATAAAATAAAAAGTATATTGCATTATTAAACTATTAATAACAAATTTTTTATTTTTATAGTGTGTTATGGATGAAAAATAATAGTAGCGAAGGTAAGAACTAACAAACTTAAGTGTGATTATTAAATAATTATATATATATATATATATATATATATATATATATATATATATATTTAGACAATAACATAAAAATAGTACATTTTAATTAAATATAATTTCATTTTAGTGAATATACAAGTATGATCTCTAGTAAAATATTTATTTGTTTGACAAAGTGTAAGTATGAACATTATACCATTTGTTTTGATGGGTGACACACCAATATCAGATGTCATTGATATAAACATTTTGTATGCATGTTATCGTGTTAGTCACTACAGCAAATTATTATAAAGAAGTCAGATGTTTTAATGTTTAGTAAAAGGAAAACAAAACAAAAAAATTCCTTCTTCCAAAGGTAAGAAGAACATCAAAATTTGGTCCTAATTACTCGTCAACAGGAGAAGAATGAGTTGTATAAAATTATAATCTTTTATACCATAATGTAAAATCATTCTAAAAGGGATCGTTTATGGTCTTTAAAAATAGTTTTCAATTTTTACTTTTTAAAAATAAAAAATATTTAATAATTATTCTGTTAAAATAATTCTTAATAATCATTTTAATTTTTAGTTTTTAAAAATTAAAATTGATAAAATATATTTTTTTTGTTCTCATTAATAAATATTAACATTTTACTCAATAATTAATTAAATTATTTATTTTTATTATTATAAAATTATCAAAATCACTTTTCAACTTTTTTATAACATTTTAAAATCTTCTATCCGATTCTATTTCGTTTAAAATAATTTTAAAAGTAAAATTATTAAATAGTTTTATTTTCAACTTATTTTTAAAAGTTAAAAACAGAATTAAATAAAAAAAATATGAATAATGTTTTGGTCAGATAATCTAATAATCTGACACAAGTCATTTGATAACATAGACTTAACTGAACTTTATAATAAGTTGAAGTTAATTAAGATATAAATTAGTTTTAACTATGTATAGATACATGAGTAAGTACACAAATTAGATATTATGAGAAACGTTTAGACATAAGTTTAAAAGAACATTTGAACTCAGTTGTATTCAATATACAAATGTAATCAATACATTTGAACAAGTTTAAAAATTGATCCAAAAATCCAATTTCGTCGATTTTCAATTATTTTTATTAATTTTAGACTATTTTTAAATCTATTCAATTTTAATCAGTCGAATGTAGCGCAATATTAAAGTTTATAGTAACAGAAAAAAATACAGAATAATGAAGGAAAAGTAAAATAAGTAGAAAAATTAAAACAAGCAAACTCATTTGTGTTTATTTTTCAATTAATATTAATAATTTTTAGATCAACTTGTCTTTCTGCACCTCTTCATATATTAAACAGGTTATCGAAAAACCGCCGAAGCATTTCCCATTGCAAATGTAGAACTGTACAACATATTAACATGATATGATGTTGAAAATCTAGTCAACCCCCAGTTAAGGCTTTTATATAGCTTCTAACCTAAGAATGTAGTACAGTTTGTTTTGTCCCCCACCCCTCCCCAAGAAAAAAATATAAAAGAAAAAAAACTTATCAACCAAATCCGAATCCTTCGTTTGCTTCATGAATGGCAAGCAGTAACCTCTCTTCCAAATGTTGTTTAGATGGATACTCTGGCAAATCTAATTGATTGAAACTGCATAAAAAGATGATAATAACTAATCCATCAAGTGAAAGCACTCACATTTAAAAAAAGCTGATGGAAAAAAAATAATAATAATAAACTGAAAAGTAGAAAAAAGGTACCAAGTATGTGCTGAAGGCAAGTGATCAGAACTTCCATATGCCTTATGTATCTGAAACCTCTGGGAACCTGAAATTCCTTGAAGAGCGCTAAAACCTTCCAAAGGCACCTGAAATGTTGGTAGCGAAAATCAGACAAATGATATAATGCATGATCTAATAAAAACATGGAACAATCATAATTTCATTATTATATGAGCGATATTGAATATTCTCTTTTGAGGTAAAAGAGTATAGCTTAGATCAAGGGTGTATATTGGGAGGAACAGAACAATCAGGGCATCTTATCTCCATCGCAACTTAGATCACCAAATTAATAATTCTCTTCTCAAGAAAAAAAATATTGATTGATTTAGTTTTGTTATCTAGTTTTTAAAAATAGTTTTAATAATTAATTTTAAAGAACTATTTGATAGACCAAGTTGAAAAGAAAAATTGTTTCGTAACTATAGTTATAGTTTAAAAACTATTAAAATTTTGGACAAATGAGGTTGGTGCCAATTGTCACGAAATGTAGCTGTAGAAATTAGAGGACGAAAAACAAAAATTTAGAAACTATATTATAAAATAAGTTTTCTAATTTTTAGAAAGTAAAAAGAGAAAACTGTTTATTAAAGTAAATTGGAGGATTGCCTTTTTCGCAAATGCTTTTCCATTGAGACTCTCGATGTTTTGAAATAAAGTCAATGCACAGAAACTGGATTTAATTGGATGTGGCTAATATTTGATTGAATTCATTTTTTGCGTCCAAAACACCAAGGTATTGAGCAGAAGAGAAAATTATTCCATGTGAAGGCAAAAGCAACAAAGTGCCCGTCATTCAACATGGAAAATCACTGAAAATTATCATTGCAAAATAAACGACATACAGATCAGGTTTAAAGCTCTTAAAGCGATATACCTTGGATGTGCCTGTCACAAACTGCAGCAGCCTAGCTTTGTCTTCTTTGCTGAAACCTTGAACAACCTCCCAAAACCATTGGATAACTGGTGATGCACCACTATATCCAGAATATTCTGTATTTGCTCTCAAGTCATCCACTGAAATGAAATGTAAAAATGATTGTTAAATTTTCTTTCCCTGAATTTGAACAGTCATAAAGATAGCCGGCACTGAGAGAAAATAAATGCGTGGCCTCAATAAAGCTAATATTAATATTGAACAAGACTCACAATCAATATCAGGAAGTCCACTGATCAATAATTCCAGCTCTTTGTCATTGAATATAGATATTAACTCCCTGGGAATTAATTCATTGAACCCTTCTAAGAAAGCATTTATTTGAGGTCGGATAGCAGTAGTCAACCGATGCTCCACAACCAAATCAACATATTGGTGTTTATTCTCTTCTGTAACTTTCGTATTCCGTCCACCAGGGATCAGCTCATAATCAGTCACCTAGACAAGTTCATCAAAATTATATACTAAACAATGTACAATCCAATACATCAATAAAATAATCTCAATAGTTTTGAAATAAAGTCAGAACCTCTGTCCTCTCATACAAAATCAACTTTTCCTCATCAGCATCAATGCTAAAAGTAAGATCCAGAACATCAGTGATATCATTCTGCATTTATACCGGAAACATGAGAAAAGTTTCACACCAAACATGAAGATTCTGACAAGGTTAATGGAAAACTACAAAAAGACACTTGCCTCAAGCATCCATTTCAAATTTTTGAAATAGTCAGGGTCAATAGCTTCAATATCATGGTATGTAACTTTAACCCCTAGAATGTGCTTGTAGAATGACCGAGTAAAATGGACATCCAAGAGCTGACCGTCAAATAATGCTTTTCCAACCTGGATAATGTAGAAAAGGATAAGAAAAGGGTATATGTGACAACAGCATTCATTAAGAACATTTGTAAGAAGAACTCACCACTCTACCAACAAATTTGAAATAAGATAAATGTTCTGTTTGGTAAACAGAGTTAGGGTTTGGCTGAAATGTTGATTCATTGCCTACTGTAGTAAAGAGCAGGGCTCCTCTGTCAAAAATAACTCTAGATAACAATTGATACCATTCCCTTGTAAGCCCACCTGCATCGATGCCTTCTTCCCCTTGGAAATGAACAGTCAACCTTCCCTTCAAATCTTGAGTTGATCTCATGCGAAGCTGGTTATATGAATCTTCAAGAACATATGCCCTTCTCACTGATATTCTTAAAGGGCTGTGGTGATTGTCATGCTGGTGTTTAATTTTTGATCGAAAGTGCGAGCGCTTGTTATCAAAATCAATAAATCTTGGAGTCTTCAGCATGAGGGAAAAAGACTTCTCAAGCAAGCCAGGATTTTGCCTGATAAAAGCATTCAATAGTTTCCTATGCTTCTCTGAAAATTTGGCAAAAGCAGCATGTTTCTCGTCTATTTTTGTGGCAGGGCCAGATGTTTTCTGCAGAGTACCAGATGTGCTGGCATCTTCTACATCAGAAATTACAGGAACACTTGTGACAGTACTAGCACCTGCTTGAGCAGGATGCAGCTTCTCACAAACAACAAAAAATGATTCTATGAATGGTAAGATATTTTGAGAACCAGGTGGAAGTGGAGACATGACATTGGACGGTTTAGACCCTGTTGTTCTAGAAGGGGTAAAAGACTCAGATACTGACTCAGAGTAGGCTTCTATCTTGCTTATACAACTGCTCAGCTCATACCACAAGGGCTCTAAGGCTGAATTGATTCCCCAAACTTCAGAAAGGGCTGGAGTTATTCCATCATTCTCTTTCTCAGCAAATGAGGTGACAAGGGAACTCAAGGCTTGCAAAACTCTTAAAATTGCAGCACCATCAGAAGATGTTCTACTGAGAAGAGCTTTCATTGCTTCACTGAAAGTGCGCAACTCATCCATTGCAGATGAAGTCAAGTTACGAACTGCTTCTGCCAGATGAGTGACAAAAAGCTGACAGTGAATTGGAGCAATGGCCACCAGTTTTTTCATTACCTCCGCAACAAGACCATATGCATTGTCAGACAAACTGGA